AGCAAAGGGGACCTGGTCACACTAACAAGGCTCTCGGCTTTTCCATCTCCCTGGAGAAAGTTGAGGCAGGGAACAAAGTCTCACCATGCTGGGCTTTTGTGTGCTTGGCATAGCACAGGACATGAACCAGTATCCATCCTCCTGCTTCTATCCAGAGCTTTTCCTTCACTTTCTCTTCGAGGCTGGTACCCAGCCATTGGTCATACTTGCATTTATGGGAAAGTCAGTGTTAGACTAGCCTTTTTTCAAACCTGTCATTCCTGTTCCTCAGGGGGATAGGTGGTAGTCTGGGGGCTGAGGTGGGTTGGAGTCTCATTTTCTGGGGACAGCTGCGAGGGACTTGTGAGTGGCAGATCTTGTTTGGCCAGAGCAGCTGGACTAAGGGATTGGGAAAAGTCTGAGAAACAAAGAGAGTGATGTCTGACAACTCATGTCCTGTGAGCCTATGGCTGCACAAAAACCTCTGACTCTCTCCCCTGGAACAAACTGGGGAGATTAAAAATAGCTATTTGTTTTTGTTGATGACAAGGTAATTTTAACACAGGTCACTTCCCCAGTCTGCTGCACTGCAAGGCAGCACGCAGAGAGATGTGGGAACAAGTGGGCAGCACAGGGGATGGAAAGGAGGAGGTGGGAGAGAGCCACTTCCTTGGGGACAGCAGCATCCCACACAGAGAATTCCAGTGTGTCTTTCCCAGGGGAGGCTGAGTGAGGAAGGAGAGCTGGGCCCCCCTTGGTGCAAGGACCTCATGGGAGAGGTGAGAGTGCTCCTGCACTGTGTGAGCTCCTCAGCTCAGCCCCCTGCTTGGAGCACAACAGAGACTGTCCCCTGTGATCACACCATATGGTCCTTCACAGGCTTTTTTTTTCAGAGAAGGGGAAATAAATAAAAGATGTCACCACAATACTGTTGGAGGTCTTTGGTGTTTTTCCCCAATGAAATGGATGGATCTTCCTTAGACAAGAACAGAAAAATTCACTCAAAATCTTTTCTGTCTTGTCTTCTTTTTCTCTCATGGACTCAGTGCAATGAGATGTTTAGATCTAATCCCAGCAAAGTAAACACAAATTTGTGGTGAAGAATATTGCCAAGGCAAGGATCTGAAATACATACCTGACACTAGCACTTCTTTTTGGTTTTTCCATTCTTGACTTTTCTAATTGAAAGCTCTGGCATTTTAGAGGCAAGATTTCACCCTGGGAACTGCTGGAGGATGCTGGGGGACTTTCTTGTTCACCAGAATGTTTACAGAAAATTTGTCACAGCCTGACCAGATCTAATTGGCATGATGTGTAAAGAAACAAGCTCCTTGGATATTTTTAGTACTCTCCAACCTTTCTAGCACAGAACTGTTGGGTGTTAATTAATTCCAGTTGTCTGACAGTTCATTCTTTCGAAGTTGGATTCTCACAAATAATTTGGCTCCAGGTGTCTTTCAGATCCAATGATAAGACAATAGGATGCTGGCATTTATCATGTCTGGTGTCTTGAGTGTATATTTTCTGATGTTTGATACTTTGGACATTATATATCTCTTTATTGCCTTTGCAACTATCCATCTTTTTCTCCTAGTGGTTTCATTACTGCAACTTTAGTCATTGACAGGCAGGAGAAATGCCCCCAATTAACACATGGACCTTTCTGTAGCTGTCTTTTATTTGTACAACATTTTTTCTCTAGCTAAGATGTGTGGAGCATTCTGAACATCTTCACTTTGCTTTCTGCATCCAATTATTTTTATTCTGTGTTTTTACAGTGTAGCTCCATTCATACCAAAGCTATTTGGGTAGCTTTACTACAGGCCATATGGTCTCTATTTGATTTTCCAGGACATTTGTGTGTTCCTATCCGGAAAGCCCCTAGTCTCTTCTTTAACTTCAAGATTCTTTACTCTCTATGGTATGGAAAACAGAATTGGAGGGCTTTCTTCCTGTGCTGGCCACACTACAGCCCCAAGCCCAATTTAGACAAAACCCAAGTATATGTATCCCATGTATCCAACAGGACTGGGAGAGATTTTATGATTATAGTGGAAAGAGTTAATTCTCAGAACTATTACTAAGTTTCCAAAGTAAAATTTTCTGAGCTAGAATTGGAGACAGGATTTTGAAAGAAAGAAAGAAGTACCAGATCAAAGTCAAATTTATGCTCCTGATAACCCACCAAGGAGTTTTTATGATGGTGTTATAGTAGCCTCATATTCAGCTTTCTTCTGCCCATGTTTTGGACCTATGAATGAGGATGCACTTGGGCATTGCATAGTAAAACATGGATAGTTTTAATGCTTTGTGCAAACCAGCCCAGCCTAGACAGATACACAGAAAACATCCATGAGATCCAACCTTTGAAAAAGGGCTGCTGGAAGACATGGATCTCCAGGAGGGGTTCACTCAGCTCACCCCTTTATACCTGCTCTCTCCTTTGGAAAGAATAGTTTCTCTTTTTGAAAAATGAGTTAAGATTTTCAGGGGCAGAAATATCCAGGTTTGGGCCCCTTCTTGTCCTGAGAGGACTAAAATTGCAGGTCTCAGGTGTCCTCTGTGAACAAGGCTGTGTGCCCTCATGGGTGTCAGGAACATGAGAAATCTCTGCCTTTATCCTTGGTAAGAAGCAGCTGCTCTACCTGCTACTGGTTTGGTTTGGCAGCAACAGCAAGCAACCACCAAAGGCAAGCAAGGACACTGTGTAATTTGGCAGGGATTTTGGCATGAGTGTGCAAAAAGCTGTGTACAATGATGTCTGGCCAAGCAGCCACAGGACTTGCCAGTGGTGCCTGGAGCCTGGCATTCGGCTGCTGCACAAGGCCATGGCTGTTGCCCTCTTGGCTTGGCTCTTGGCACTGATCTTGGCTCATGCTCTGGGCCTCTGGAATGTACAGATTCCTGTCAGCCTTGGGATGGGGCACTGGTAGAGCTGGTGTGTCCCCATCACGCATCTCTGCAGCCCCCACCACACACTGTGGCCCCACAGCTCAGTGACTGAAGGCCTCAGCATGGTGGGGGCACACACCACTCACAGCAGTGCTGAATGCCAGCTGGGCTGCCTCACAGTCCCCTCCCTCCTTGAAGCTGTGTGCACCACCTGGAGCACTCTGTTGGCTAGGACATGCTTCTGCCACCCTTTCTGACTGGGAATTTGAGTCAGGAGGGGTGGGGAGGGCAGCCTGCAATTGGGCTTGGAGCATACCCTCCCTGTGCCGACAGCAGGGACCCTGCCTGGTCAGTGAGAGCCCTCAGGGGAACTTGAGCCTCTTTTGGGGGCCCCAGGACCTCTCAACAGCAAAGCTGTGGGTGCTGAGGTGATGTTTTCCCTGGAGACTTAAAGGCTTTGAGGTCCACAAAATGCTTTGGACCAAGGTGCCTTTGTGCCTGCTCCGTGCTGCTGACACTCCAGATCTCTGGGAGCTGGGACCATCTCTCACCCCAAGGAAAGCTGCTCATTGTAGCGAGGTTCTGCACGGTGCAGTAAGCACCCAGCTGGGGTATAAAGAGGATGCCAGGCACCTGCAGGGGCCAGACCCCAAGAAGCTGCAGCTGTGGCCTGAGGAGAACCAACAGCAGGTCAGTTCTGGGGGGAGCCCATGGGTGGCTCAGTGACCAATCCAGCCCAGCCACGCCACGGCTGCCTCCCAGCCTGCCCATGGCCTGTGCAGCCACTGCAGAGCATCCCCCAGCCCCACAGAGCACTGACCTTGGCAACAGGAGAAAGGCTTCTTGCTTTTGGAACATCTCCACAAATTATGAAGTGCTTTTTTTCTCTCTTTTTCTCCTGTGGTGTTTTTGTTGTTGTTGTTCTTGTTTTTTCTTTTTTTCACAAGTTGGGAGTGGTATTGTACCAGAGTGATGCGCAAAGCCTTGGCTGGTAACATCTGAAATTTTCACTTGTGGTATTTGCTGATATACCAGCATTGCTATGTCCTGCCTGCCATAAGATGTCTAAGCAGCTATTTCTAGGGCATAATAAAGCAACTGAAGTGAAGACAGGCACAGACAGAAAACTGAGATTAGGGTACAGGAGCTGACTTTATCAGACAAAACCATCAGCTTGTAGGTATGAAGCCCAGGTACAAATCAAATGCACATAAAAATATCAAAGTTAAAAACTAGATTCTGGGGATATTTTAACAGGAATCAACCACTGTGTTCTTGTTGAACTAGAAGAGACTCTTTAGTTTCCTTGCTGTACTTTGTCAAAACATTCTTATCTATCTTTGTCTGCAATGTTGGCCTTGTTTTTCTTGTGTAGAGATATTAACTGTACATTATTTTATCTTTTTCACTTCTCTTTTGTGTCTACATTGGTTTCAGGACAGAGCAGAACCCAGAGATAAACTTTTATATCATGAAGAAAAAATCTCACAACTCCCTCTGCCTTTGCTACACATCCCCTCAGCAAATAGTTCACAGTACAAGTCAATAAATCATCCTTCCTCTAAAGTAAACTTGTCTTAAACACTTCTGATGACCAATAAGGAGTAACTGAGACAGAGCATTAGCATCAAACACGCTACTGCCAAGCACCCTGACCTCACAAGGACAGTTATGCTATTGGTTTTTAAGACCAGTGGAGAGCAGGAGGAGCAGAAATACATTTGTTAAAAAGCATGGCTCAGATCCTCGAGGGGCAGGCAGCGATGGAAATGCAGTGCCGTGCTAATTGGTGCAACTGCCTGGCAAAATGTCTCTAAAATAACAGGCACTCAAGTTCAAGACCCACTGTGGTTTCAAATACCCACTGCATAACCCAGACAGTATCTGGCCTATTAAAGGAGGGCACAAAACCAGGGAGCAGAGAACAATGGTATCTTTCCACATGGGCACTAATCTGGCCAGCGGGCAACAGCAGAGCCTCTTTTCCCCCAGCAGGCTGAGGCTTCTGATGAATTTAATGCTCTCTGAAGACTGTCTCAATTGAAATCAAACTCACTTATGACCTTTCCTCTGAGCAGCAGGACAATAAAATCCATAATGAAAAGGCAGTCAAACAGAAGACAAGAATATGATTTTTTTTAAAATGGATGTTTTATTCATGAAGTATTTCTAAAAATGTGTAAAATACACTCAAATATATTTGATTTGTTGACTGTAGCTAAAAATATAAAAATATACTTAAATGCATAAATTAAATTGACAATAGTAGCACAATTCTGTGTTCACCCAGTGTTTGTTAGAAACACAATTATAAGTAATTATATTGCATATGAGCATGGAATAAATACTGAAGATGTTTTCCAGACCCTTTAATCCAAGCACTGGAAAAGAATTTATGGCTAGCCAAATTTCAAAACTGTGGGGTTTTCACTATAGTGTACTGCCCTGCTCTAGAGCAATATATATTTAGCGTCCTATCGTTACTTACAGTATTTCTCTAGCTTCCAAAAAACCAAGAAACAACTAAACTGTCATGGATATTGGACTACCAGCATTGCTGACACTGTGTGTGTTCCAGTTCCACAGTTTTTTCTCAATTAGCTGGTCCCTAGTCTCCAGTATTTTCTGCAAGCCTTAAAACAAAAAAGTCCCAGTTTGAACCAGCTGTTGATCTGTGAGGTCACTGACAACAAACCAGTTTGCTTAGGCCACAGAGGCGCTCCCAACAGGTCAGGAGTTTGATTTTGTCAGCATGAGGGAGACAGTTGGGGGCACAGGGTCTATAGTAAGTTGCCCAAATACTGGGGTGAGCACCCATTTCAATTCAAAGTTACAGCATCCTGGGATTCCGGGTCCCAGAGCTCACAGCTCCAGAGCCCAGACATCTGTGACAGGGCCATGAGGGAGTGGTGGTCATTCTATATTGCATTTTATTTACACTAACTGTACGTCTGAAGTACTGAAAGAAATCTGAATCAATGTTAAGCACCTGCCAAGGCACTCCTTGGGCATGAAGCTGTGGCTGTGGTAGGCTGTATCTCTGAGTGTCAGATGCATTTCTCTGTTCTGTGGCCTTGGAGAGAGATGCTGATAGAGTGACTTGATGGCTATTGTTCTTATTCCTCTAGCCCATATATTAAACCCCAGGCTGAGGAGCACAGCTAAGTGCTCATGTACTCCTATCTGTCTAGTGTTTAACTTTGTGCTTTCAAAGTCAAAGTGTAAATAACCATATACAATACATTATATAAACTTAAAGCTCACACATTTTCTTTTCTCTGTTCTACAATTGGAAGCAAATTCATTGCATATTATGGCACAAAATAATATTTCTGGCATTTTAGGCATTATTTATTGCTAAATAACTATAGCAGCAGAGAAAAATGTATAAAGTTGCACTTTTTGACATCTTCACAGTATGCCTATTTCTCTCACCCACTTTTGTGTTCCATTAGTAACAAAAAATATCATTTATCAACTCCAGCTATGTAAAATCTATTTTTCCCCCTACAATCGCTAGTGGATCTTGTAATTTTATTGCACAGATTTAAAAAAAATATTTATTACAATTTTTTCATTATTAAATAACTTTCAATACAAAAATTTGAATTAACCTAAAAGCCCAACCCTGCAAGTGCTTCAGAAGTGGAACAGTATTGTCTTCAGGCAAGCATTCCAGTTGACTTTTTCATGAAAGTACTCAGGTAGCTTTGTGGACCATGCAGAGATTCAAAGGATGGGCTCCAAGTGTGCAAATCTTAGCTTATGGATCAGCAACAACACTAGCCTTGCTTTCTAACATTATTATTGGGAAACATCAAGAAGGGAATTCTGAACTTCATCAAGGACATTCAAAAGACATCTTTTTCCTTAAGAGCTGTCTTCGTTCAGCACACAAGCTCCCTCAAATCTATTCTTGTTACATTAACAATTTCCCATCAGTCCTGTTATTCAGCTTAGAGGCACAATAAATATAACTACTTATACTGATAAGTAGGTGTTGTATATTTAAAAAATGCTACATAGATACTTTTTTACTTTTTCTCAGTGGATTTACACTGGTTTCATATGAGCAGAACTGGCTAGAGAGCAGAACCAGAGCAATAATGTGTGTATACATCTCATATGTGACCTACTTGGGCAGAAATGTAAAGCTGCTCAAGAGCATTGTGCCAGAGTGTTTAAGGTCATCTGTCATGTTATGAAGTGATGAGGAGGAAAAGGCTTCTGAACAATGTCCATTATTAACTGAGAGAAAAGGTGAAACTAGCTGTCTGCTATGACATAATTTTGGGTAGACATGTACAAACTCTGTAGCTGCAGACAGGGGAGCTGAGAATGATAAAATAAACTGCAGAATGATGTGTGTCTCTGAAAATGATGAACAACACACATACAGAGCATACAATCAGACTTTTGCCCTCAGAACATATAGCATTGAGTGAGCTCCACTTCCCTCAGCATTAAAAAATGACATGGTGATAGAGAGTGTGAGGTAATGTACAGGGTACACTTGGTGTGTGTTAACAGTGTAATTGTACTGCTGGTAACTAACATGGTGATCCTTGTTCCTCAGCTACCCCTGCAAAAAAGAAAGGACCAAATGCAGTGCATGTAACACAACAGCAGTATTCACTATGCCTTAAGTGCAGAAGTTATTAGCCTGATCAACAATCAATCTAAAGTTACCATGTTTGTTTGTCCTTGCTTGCTCATCTAGCCATCTAGCAAAGGAAATAGAGAAAAGAAGGCATCTGCAGAAAATGTGCTCATTTCTTTGTGGTTTTTCTTAGACTTTCCTCTGTGAAAATGTCTTCCACCCTAATGCTAGTTGCCTTCTTCTTTGGTTTCCATTAAGGGTGGTGAATTGTGAATTTTGAAGTTTGTGTGGTGCCAAAGAGGATGTGCAGGAGGGATGAGCAGTATTTTCCTTCAGAAACACCTAAAAAGAATGACCAAGTTTACATGTTTGGAGCAGCTGTGAGAACTGATTTGAACGGTGGCTTCTGAAGCATGTGGGTGTATTTGGTCAAGAAAGGATGAGATTCCAGATGGAATAGGAAGAGTGACTATCAGGCTGTTACCTTCTCTAGGAAAACTAGAGTAACATGGATATGCACAGTCCTGCTGTGGCACAGGAGTTTCTCAGTTAGGCACTCAGTTAGCTACTTACTGATTCTCAGAAGGCCTTCAGAAGTATTTATTTTTCTCCAAAACAAAAGTGGAATTCAGGCACTTGTCTTCAGCAACAAGCTAAGTTTTCTCTACGAAAAGTATGGGTAGATATATGAAAGAAGAACTATGAATCCCTTCCTTCTTTTCATGGTGGAGATGAACTGTGTACTGGCTTTTCACTATTTGTTTGAGGAGCATTTTATAAAGATAAGTAATAGCTGAACAGAGTGTTTAGACCCCTGAATGAGATGCCTCTTTGCAGAGGAGAGAGAGGCTGTGCATAATCTACTTGGCTGGGCAGGATACCTGGTAAATGCTCTTTGACTTGTATTTCTTGCTATCATTCAGTTCTTTTATTGATAAAAAATTAAGTTGATATGTTTTGAATTTTAAACATGTTTTCAGTAATGAGCCCCTGCCTGGAGGCATGGGGGTTGGAACTAGATGATCTTTAATGTCTCTTCCAACCCAAAACATGATGATTCTATGATCAGGACAGGCCTGCCAGCCTACATTCCCTGATGAGCCATTTTCCATTCCAACTGCCCCTGTGGTGGTGACATCAAGTAACATTCCAGAGGAGAATTCTTTCTATGGAGACATGCTGGGGCCAAACTGTCCCACAGTGAAAGCAAGTGGCATTTGAAAGATACCAGCACTTGGGGCAAAGTGCAGCTTTACTCCAGCTGAGTAAACTGTGGGATATATACCTTTATATGTCTTTGTTTCAATATGTTTGCCATCTCTCTACTTTTTTGGCTGTCGTGGTACAGAACTGTTTCTGATCAGCTATGGAAGTTGCCAGACTTCACATCCTCACAGGTTTGTTAACACAAATGTCTGAGGAGTGTCTTTGAACACCTTTCTTAATAAAAATTTTGCACACGTGAAAGTGCACAGACACAAGTTGTGGTCTGATTCTGCTCTCTTAAACCAGTGTAAAGAAACCAGTATGTGACCTGTCTCCCCCCAGAGTATGTGGTCAGAGAAAGGTCTGCTAGACTTCACTGCAGGTATGTTGTTTGATATTTTTCTACTATGTCACACTAGACTGAAACAGTTGCTTCTAGTGAGGTGAACCCTGTTTTGGTCAGTTATTAATGAGTTCTGTAAAAGGTATGCCACTGTGATATGGGTTACTCCCATTTTTCTCAGATGAAAAGCAGTAAGTTTGAAGTGTAGAGTAGCATTGTAATTGCTATACAGGACTACTGTTCCTTGCTTAATAGTAGCTTATTTCAACTCACAAAGACTGAATATTTTTTAAAAATGAGGTTCTCTGTATAGGACTTTTTCCATGTCATGCCAATAGCGCCCCAAATGTAGCAGTCCTGTTAGCCATACAATTTAAAATAGTTTATGTAGAACAGTTTATAAAAACTGTGATAAGAAAAAAATAGTATTATCTGAAGCATAATATTAATATAAACAATATGGAAAAAATACATATTTACATAATGCCAAAATACAATTATATACATTAATATCTATTACATTTAAATTATATATCTTTAAAAAATCACCAGACCAATAAATTATACACAGTCTCATCCAAAAGGTCTGGCACCTTTCTGGTGCATGAAATACATACATAAAAAAACCAAAACAAAACCCCTAGTTAACAAATGTGTTCACAAAAGCAGATATCTCTAACATTCTTAGTGCCTTGAATAAACAGCATCTGAAAGCAAGGAAAAATGAGATTAGAAAAAGTAAACCAACACAGATTCAGCAGTGCTCTGAGGTGGCTGTGTGGGAGCAGCACTAGCTGGTGATGGATGTTACAGCTAAAGTTCAGATCCTACCTCTGCTTGGTCTCTCAATGTGTGAAAGCTGGATGTTTCAGTTCTTGGTCTCCTCCAAGCCTGTTCTACCTGTCTATGAGAACTCTGATTTCTACAGGCTAGATCAAGAAAATTATTTGGATTTCTCATGATATAATCCTAATTCCTAATGTCCAAATTTGTGGAACTACTGAGATCCTTCTGTCTTGACCTTAAAACTTCTACATCCTTTAGGAATCAGCCCTACCAAGGCACAAGGTCACCACTGCTTACAGCTTCTCCACACTGGTCCTCTGGCCATGGGCCTAGGAGGTGAAGGGCAGTGCTAATGCCAGGTTTGCTACTCCTGACACTCTTATCAGCAAGGGACTGGAAAAGGAGTCTACAAGGATGGGGAGTCTGAGGAGAAAGAAAGAGCCCAGCCTAGAACACTTATATTTTCCAGTCAAAGCAGATGGGAAGTCTCACAAGGCCACCTGTATTGTTAACAGCAGATGAGAGCAATGCAGACAGAAATTGAACCCCATGAATGGCAGAAGAGCCCAGTGAGTGCTGTCAGTGTTCTCAGTTGCTTATGGATAGTGAGAGCATAAAGGTAAGGTGGGAGCAGGAAGTGATGCTATAATGACTACTAATGGAGAAAATAAAGATACAACTGCAAGAATGAAAAGAGCAGAGGGAACAAATGAAGGTCCAGGAAGTAAAGAAATATCAATGGTTAAGGATAGCACAATTCCCCCTCAATTACACTGTCAGTGAGCTACTACATTTGAAACATTTTACAATTGGATAAACTTGCAGTTACCTCTGTGATACTCTGGATTCACATTTTCATATATTGGAAATAAGGGATTTTCTTGTTCACTGCGAAGTTTTCTGGCTCTTAACACATCTCTCACACATTGATGTAGATACACATATTGACACTGCAAAAGATTTGTTTTCAAGACACTGAGGAATTTTGTAATTTAATTTTCTGTACTGTGAAAAATCATTACAAGCTAACTCCCTCAAAAAATCAAGGGTGATGTTAAAAATTAAAATATAATTCTAAAATTAATCTCCTTTTCACACTACTAATTATAGTAAACTTTTGTGATCACCTCTCTTTAGAAATAATACCAGTAAAACATAAATCACCACAGTATGTTTTGACAGATCATGCCATTAGTGAAGGCTTTAGCAACTGTAAAGAGCAATTTCACATGGTGCTGTGTTGGATAGCTACTACTTCTGAATGCTTTGGTATAAAGTATATGTAGAAGAATTAATATGCACAGGGAAGCATGCAGGAAAGACAAACAATTTCCTGATTTTTCTTTTTGTTCTGAAAAGAAAAATTTTCCACAGAATTTTACAATAACATATAAATATTTCAGACAACTGTGAGAAACCTAAATCTCTGAAAAAAATCAGAAAAATCTCTGAAAAAACTATTTTTTTCAGATCCAGTATAAGTTCTAAGATTGTTTCTGACTATAGAGCAGATGACAGTTTTTTCTGAAGAATGCCTTTCATAGAATGGAGCTAAGATGACATTCACAACCAAAGTAAGGAGGGTCAGCATGTTATTGACTGTTGATTACTCACCAAACTATCTTGACAGAATAGATTAATAAACTTTCATGCTTTGCTACTTTTTGTGGTTTATGACATAGGTCAGGTCATAATAGTCTTTCAATTAGTATAATACGGTACCCAAATGTCAAGCTGAGCATGTTTATATATCAAGGTGTACCTTTCTAACATTATCTCAAAAACATAATTTCTCCAATATGTATTTTCTCCCCTCACATGCTCTGTGTCTTTCTCTCAGTGCTCTGGCTCTGGGAAAGTGAGGATATCTGCCTTTATGCACATGCAGCTGCTCTCTCTGCAGAGCAGAACCCTGCACCCACCAACACCATGAAAGTCGCCCCAGCATGGACACTTCCTTGGCAAAGACCATTTTTCAACTGGAATGGTTATAGCTGCTGTAGCATGCTGCCTTTTGAGCTGATGCACAGCTTTCCCTTGCCTGTCTCCACCTCCAGGCCCTTGTCTTAAACAATGCTGAGCCAAGACTGAAGCAGAGGCATTGTTTTGTTGCTGCTGTTTTTCTGTGACGGAATATTGCAAAGTATGATGGTACCGTGGCCTTTGACTTTTGTGGGGATCTGGCTGCCTTTTGACTTAGATGTCATGTCAAGCTCATGCCAAAGGCAGGTTTTGTATCACACAACTTTAGGTGTTTGTAAGTAAAATTTAGGCTCTTGAGGTAGTTGCCTCTTTTTTCCAGCTAGGGAAAAAGAGCCATCCTCCTGAGATGTCTGTCTGCCTTTGCAGATTACAGATGAGGGGAATGTAGGAGGATCTGTCTCTGAAGATGCAGAGACTAGGCTGGGAACTCCAAAAGAAGGTCTTCTGTGATTAAGATATTTCCAGGAGCCCCTTTGTTTTGTGTTCCCAGCTGGGCCTCCCTTTATAGCCATACGAGACTTTTACATCTATCAGAAAACACTGTCACTGACAAACTGGTTTCCAAATTGCAGCAAAGAGCTCCATTAGTATCAAGCTACTTGATGCATCAGGCAGATGCATCAAACTTGTTTTCATTCTTCTATTAACGGTTCACAGGGAAAATGTACAGAGTAACTCCACAAAACACCTTTATTAAATCAGCTCCTAAATGTTTAGCTTCTATCAGTATAACATGATTTTCTTGCCATTTTAAAAGCACAGAAAAAAAAATACAAAACATTTACTTTTTCTGAACTTTGAGAACAAATGTACTTGCTTTTGCATAGTACATTATATTAGGAGAATGCCAATCAACTTTCCAAAATCATTGTAATGAAAATGAGAGAGCAGCTCAATAAAACATAAACAGCAAAGGCACAAGGTCACAGTGGCCAGAATTTTAAAATTGCATACATCTAATTTTCTCTGTCCTGCATTCCTCTTTCCCCTTATGTCAACCTATCTGTTTGTTTTACACTTGTATTCCAAACCCATCCCTGAAGGACCTATCTCCACTTAAAGCTCATTTACTGGACTCTGCAGTGAAGCAACTGTGAGCTGTTAAGTGCCTGATGCATAATGCTGCTGGGGTGATTATGGGGCTGGGGAAAGAAAAGGAAGAAATCTACAAGAAGCATAACTTCATTTTGTTATGGTTTGGACCCTCTCTAAGAGAGCCAATGGAAAAAGACCTGAACTGGAAATTCTCACAGAGCTAAAATACATTTAACTTGTATTTCACAGTGGAGTAAGTGCAAAGTGCTTTGAGAGCCTTTAAGATGAGATTGATTATTCCATACTGTAGGCATAGCAGGCTATCCAAACCTTACCTCTGTCTGAACCATGTGAACACGGTGAAGCCTTAGATCATGGACTGCTGCATAAATGTCAACAGTGTCCTTCGAATCCAGCTGCTGCAGAATTCGGTCCAGTGCAATGAATGTGCCAGTCCTGCCAACACCAGCACTGGAAAAGAAAACACCCAAGAGATTTAAAAGCAGATGGATCAAAGCATTCACTATCTTCATGTGATACTTTTGTAAAGTTCAGATCTCCAGGGTGAGAAGCAAGTTGTTCAAATGGCATCTTTGGGCCTTTAAACCACTTTATAACAGAATTTATTTAGGAAGGAGGAAAGGATAGTAATGGTAGAGGTATCTCTGCTACTGCCTGCACTGCTTTCTGCTTTGGATTAACCCAGTCATTGACATACACTGAAAGGCTGCACCTGACTCTAACTTTGAAACCTCTTCCTCCAGAGATGCAGCTGTGGGACACAGCAGACATCTGACATGCTGCAGCCCATGCTGTCCAGGCAGACACAGGCAGGGTCATGTAAGACACAAGCCTCAGCCCATATAATGGTGGAGGGCTCAGATTCTACAATCAGGTACTACCAGTGAACATATGGCTTTATCAGAAGATACAGCACCAATTGCACTCTTTCTCCCTCTGTAACCCTATACTCTGCTGCAGCTGGCCAGTGGATAACCGATCAGGCAGTTCAATTTTGCAATTTTTTATGCAAGTGTAGTGGTGGACCACAGAACTGAGAGAAAACCGCAGCCCTGTGACTGCCAGGGATGGAAAAAGCAGAAGAGCATGAAAAGGCAGTAGGAAAAGGGAATCAGTCAGAACGGGGGAAGGACGGATCTGTCAGCTAGTCTCAACATCCACACACAGTCAGATTTACCCCTGGTACACTTTACCTTTTAAACACCCTCTGTGATTCCAATGATAGGCCACAACAGCAGCATGTGGTACCACAGAGACACAGTGGTTCCCTAAGAATAACTTTTGAGCCATCTCCAGGGTGAGGTTGTGGGTGAATGCATGTGCCCTGGGAATACTGCTCTGATGTATCTGGAAGCTTAAGACCATCGGCTATCTCTCAGATTCTGCAGCTGCCCATAGTGTAACAGGGATGAAGATCTGGGATTTTCCCAAGGGTAGGCACAAGGGCTCTGTGCCATGAAGTTTTGGTGCTGCACATACCTGCAGTGTACGATACTTGGTCCTGTGTCTGGGGTCCTGTTGATATAATCTCTCACAGTTCTGACAAACTGGATCAGGGATTGGGTGGTCTCTGGCACACCATGATCCGGCCATACAGTGTAGTGGAAGTGACGAATGAGCCTCGTTGAGTCAAGCTGCTCTTCCTATTGGGATTCAAAAGTGTGGGTCATCAAGACAAGAGAGGAAGGGACACATAGAACAGGTACCCTCAGAGAAAATGCTATAGCTTCCACCAGAGGGGAGTCAGGCATGATGCAACTATGGTACAGCAGAATAAACCTTCCTAATTTAGCCTTGCAAGTGTTTTAAGCAAATTAATCAGCGAAGAAAAAAATGCAAACATACACTGCAGATTTTAAACTCTCGTATTGTCCACTCTGGGAGCACCGATTCAGACAGCATCTCAACAATCAGGTCTCCATAGTACAAGGAATCCTGGTCATGGGGCCAGTATTGATCACACTTTACCTGCAGAGACACAAGGAAAGACAGATTTAGTGGTCAAAATAGCTACAAACAATGCCACCATCCTGCACTGGCAGAAGCAGACTTCAGACTCCTTGTGCCTGAGGATGAAGGAAGACAGGCAGCAGTTGAATTCAGAGATGCCACTCTCTGCCATGTCAATAAGCAGGGTCTGGCATGGGAATGGGTTAGCATGGGGGTGGGAAGTGGAAGTTTTCATAATTCATTTGTGATGGGGGGAATGGGAAGTACTTCACTGATACCTCCTTATAGGGCATATTTTCTGTGCCAACATTTCTCAAATCTCTGCTTGGATGAGAGCTATGTCTCCAGTGCCCCTTGCTCATCTTTTGCTGAGACATGGCACTAAGGTCCAACTTGGAACCAGTGAGATGCAGAAGGATACAGATCCTATTCTGTGTTGGCTTTCCCCCTCTCCTCAGGAAAAAATGGTAAGCTGAGAGGAACTGACCCTATATGTGCTACTAGAGGATCATGACTTCAAGTTTGTTTAATCTTCTTACAGATCTAGTCACTGTCTTACAAAGGGACAGGACGTGGTCATACCTGGGGAGGTATGCTACACCTGCATTCAGGAAGAGTGTTAAGTGCATGAGTGGTCTCTTTGCTAACTACATCAGGGCTTATATATCAGAGATAATTTGATGTATTTACTGATCAACATTTGCTCTTCAGAGCTTATTTTAAAGTAGAAGTTGATTAGAGTTGATGTGATAAACAGGCACTTTTTGTTGGTGGTTTTTCTTCTACATGCTGAAGAGAATTGTCTAGTGAACAAAGTCCTGGATTAGAGACCAGAAGCACTGAGCTCTGTTCCTAATTCTAGCCTTGACATGCTGCCTTCATCTGTCTCCAGTCTTTATATTACACCTTTTCTATCATGCTGTGTATCTCCTTGACTGGGCTCTTTTTGGCCTTAGTGTGATGAAAATAAGAAGCAAAATCTTTTAAGAGATGTTAAAACAGACATTAATAACAAAGAAGAGTCACTGCTTACCCGGCCCTTCTCAACACACTGGGTTACCATGACAATGTTGTGAACATTTTGCTCCCATGCCATCTTCCAGAACTCATCTTTGGTTCCAGGCAAAGGGCCCTGAGTTGCTATGTATTCCCTGCGGAAATTATTGCCCTGCAAATAAAGAGAACTCCATTAGTTTCCAAAAGGGCAGGAAAAAAATCTTCTAAAAACTGAACAAGGCTTGGGATTGCAGACAGGGCTCTGCAGCAACCCTTCCTGGGACAATAGTTTTGAAAGCTAAATTGTTGCCTTGGACCCGAAAGCAAATGACTGATTGGAACAGAGAGAAGGAAGAGATGGTGGCAGTTTATCTAAATACTGTCCCTTTTGTGACAGTCAAAGCTTTCCATTGTTCTTTTGTGTTCAGCACAGTCCCAAGCAATTTTAAAACTGCTAGGGGTTTTTGTTTTATTTATCATTTTTAATAAAGTAGCTGAGTTCTGGCTTGAAATCTGGATTGCTAAAGCCACTGCTATTATCAATCATAACTCTTTGGCAAAGGGCATTAATTTAATTTCAGCCAGTTTTGTCACCCTGCAAGGTGCCAATGCTGTCAGGATGAGCTACAGCTCTACAGTGAGGATGCCACCTGCAGTGATAGCTACAGTTGTTATGGACACTGTATAAAATCAGCGACCTTTAAAAATATGTCCTTGGCCAATTAGACTTGCTATCTTACATAACTATAGCAATGCTAGAAAGTGTCCTTAAGTGCTGGGTAAATCACTCACAGTTAATTTAATGGTAGTCAGCCACAGTCTTTCAGTACACCCACAAAATGAGTTCTGATTTTTTTAGCGAAAAGTGAATCAAGGAAGGGGGAGGGGAGCCTTAACCATCCAGCTTTATAGTCAGCTTTAGATGACGGAAAAATTACCACTGGACTGGAGGACTGCAAAACACCACCCTTGAGTCACTTACTGGTATGTAGCTTGCATTAATGTAGTCTGAGCAAGGGTCATCATCCACATTGGAAAGCTTCACTCTTGATGTATCATCTAGCAAGAAATTGATTACAAGAAGCTTAGGGCTAGGTCTTGATTTTCAGTCCCTCTCAGCACTTACAGAAATGCGTTTGTGAAAGGACTGCCAGCGCTATTACCAGATTTTATATGAAGAGCTAATTTATAAGGAATAACTGCTGGTTTTACTGCCTCTTTAATCTGTGAGTGCTGTGGAGTGTTCCAGAGACTAGGAGATAGATGGGTAAGAAGGATGCAGTAAATATACTGAATTTCCTCTGCTGAGCTGCATAGGATTTGTTATGACAACAAAAGGGCCAAAATAGCATCCTCCTTTGATCCTAACAGCAGTATGCTGTACTGAGAAGTAGTGCCCAGCTCTGCCCTTGAAAGAACAGTTGCACTTCAGTGGTATTCTGAGCTAATGCTGAGCAGGCCAAACATCTTCTGTAGGTGAAGGGCCCTCTGTACAGAAACATATAGTGCCTGAGCTGCCAGGACACTGATTCATGAGATAATGCCATGTTGGATCTCAGTCAGGTGTCACTGCTGGCATGAGCAGGCAGGACACAGGAGAGGCTGTGCTGCCAGCACATGCCACATCCATTAGTGGGGATGTGGAGCAGTGAGTTATGTGGTGTTCCTCCTCAATGTTCTACCTCCAAAATGACAGGTAGGAGATTAAAGGGGAAAACTCTCAACAACAGACAGGTCTTGCCTGAGAGGAACAGGGTTAACTTACACATCTTACCATGCAGAATCACACTAGCTCTATATTGTATAGTAGGTTTAGTGTACACTGAAGAACAAAGATTTGGCAAGGCTGTCAAAGAGCACTGAATGGATGATACTCTGCATGTAAAAAACCCTACTGTTATTTCTACTATCCTTGTTATCAGCAGTGACTGAATGCCCCTAATAGCTGGAGCTTTTTCTCCCTGGACTGAATGCTAGTCATTACACCTCTAGTGTGAAATTAAATTACTGGTCTGTGTGAAGCCATTCAGGGCCATGCATCATCTGCCTCCTAGCACAAGAACCTGAGCTGGCACAGATATTTCATTGTGGACAGAAAGGAGGGGAGGGATTGGCTGCACTCTTTTCCACTAGGCTTGCTGAAAAAAAAGTGAAAAATAGCTGGTGTGATGCAATATTACACAACCAAAGCTAAAACTCACAAGGCAATATATTATTGTATCGATTCTTCCCTCTGTTCTCTGGCAGAAGTGCTATATCACATGTCTGGTTTCGACCCACATCTTTCAAGTCCTGCAAAAAAGGAATAGGAATAAAATGTGAGGCAAAAATAATTAAAGGACAAGACAACACAAAGGGAAATAGTGTTCATCAGCTCTCAAAGGCCGTGGACAGAAAACAGGTGCTTTTTTATAAAAAACAAACTGAAATTACATAGATAATCATACTGTTTTAAAGCAAGTGCATGGCTGGCAGGTACCTTCTATACTTTTATCACACAGATGTGCCATATAAACAAATGTTCCTAATCTCCGCCAGACAAGTATCAGGCAGAGGCTGCCAACCAGAATATGCCAAATGAAGAGCTGGTTTTTGCACATGGACAAGTGGAGTTCAAATGAAATGCTCCATCTTTTTTGGATTTGTGTGAATAATACAAACATATGCAAATCTTTCTAATACATTAACCAGTTGACTCAGTCAGCCCGCCCCTTCACAAAGCAAGTCCTTTGCCTAGGTTAGGATCCCACCTCATACTCCTTGGACAGAAGGTAGTTGGAGTCTGCTTGAAGTTTGGTGAAGTGTGCTTCAAAGTGACTGACTTTGATCGGACTGAAATATTCAATAGGAGGAAGAAAATCACAGGATGAATCACAGTCATAATTTATCCAGTTGGCTACCAAGAAGGTTTTAGGTATTAATTTTTTCTTTTTACCTGGAAGTTTTCCGGTACCTGGAAATTATTTCAAAAGAAAAAGAAACACTTCATCAGTAAGTGATCAGATGGCTCTGTTCAACCACAATGCTATGTTAAAAAAACCAAATTTTTACATTACCCTTTTTGCCCCAAGTTCAAATGGACTGACAGTGGCCTGTCTCTGCGAATGTTCAGCCTCGCTGTAGGTCTCTCATGACCATTTCTGGAACAAAAAGGAAGGTATTCTGTTATATCATGAAGTTTTGAAACTGGTAAGAGTTGGCACTGATGTAAGTTATACTTTCTTAAATTTCTTTTTTTCCAGTTTACCGTTTTCCAGTGTGTTTTGATTTTTGGCTCTGATCCTGTGACATTGCTCTTAGCTCAGGCTCAGACTTTTCTTGTATTTTAGCTTGGCAATAGTGATGTGGAATGTATGCATGGCACAGGCAGGTAAGACATTTTTCTTGTTCTGAAACACTCACAGCCCAGTCCATCATTAAGGAGGGTGCCCTGTGCTAAGATGGACCCTAAATCAGTTGATTCTCTACATATAGAGTAACACAGAGGTAGATTTTCAGAGCTGTAAAAGGTCTACAGCTTCCAGCACATGCACTCTGCAGACCAAGCCTGTAGCAGATGCCCACATTCATGGCAGGAGTAAGTGGCATAACCACAGCAGGCTCTGGGAAAGCCACAGAAGTGGTACTTACTCCACACAGTTAGTGTTGCCTTTCATCTTTTTGCTGCCATCTCCTCCTTCAAGACACCTACCTTAGAGAACACTTTCTCTTTATGTCTGATGTGGGAAAACCATACCAGTACTACTGCCATCCTGCTGGGTGGCAGCACTTACAACACGAAACCACATTCTATAATGAAGTTTATCCATTTTGGCTAAAAGCTATTACTAGTCAGAAAATAGATTTTGTTTCAATCTGAAATTCTGGCAAATTCATATCAACTTAATTTTGTATCAGTAAAAGAACTGAATTTCAGACTTGCAGTGTTTCCCATGCACTGGAAATGTTGAGGTTTTTTTCTAATTACAGAAACTGCAAAGAATTTCACATTTCTCAGTCATGCAAAATAGTTTAAATGGATAAAGATTTTTTCAGTTGACATACAATATTTAATTTTTTAAAAATATGTAAGTCCACTATTTAGGATTCATCTGTAATGTCAAACATACAACTATAACTGACAAAAAAATGAGAAGCAAAGTTTGAGCTAATCTTTGGGACACTGAGGTAATGCCACATTTCAGTATTTTTGAATTGAAATGATAAAGTCTAAATGAACAGTTTCAAAAGCTTCCCATCTACAATGCAGATGCAATTAATCTGAAACATTTCATTTTTTGACAAAAGACATTTTTTTCCCAGAAGATAAAAGTTTGAATGATAAACCAATTTTTATTCAGAACTATTCAGACTCCTACTGCAAACTAAAAGTTACAAGGATCCTCTATGACATAATTCTGACACCATTTGAATTAAGTATATATAGATTTCTTAATATGCAAGTCATTAGTTGTATACTTAGTGTGTACAGAATTTGGGGGGGACATACATTTTATCTGTTGAACAGTTCAGTGCATCCATCCAATTTTTAGCTAAGCCTTATAAATTGTATTACTTAAATGAATATAATTTGACATGACTTCAATAACGGAGACTGACAAAGGGAGTCAGCTTACCCAACTTTTTGTCTGCAGACAAATAAAGCAGTAACAGCCACCAACATCACAATCAGAAACAAGCCAGCACTCACACCTTCAATAACTCCAAAAAGAGGCTCTGGAAACAAAACAGTGTATTTATGTATCTTGAGGAAAGGATCAAAAGAATCAGAGAATCAATAACTTTCAGGGAATCTATTATTATCAGCTGAAGAAAATGGCTAAATACAAGGAAATCTAAGGCATTAAAACACTTAGCTAAAACCTGGCCTTGATCTTCTGTCCTCATTTTTTCAAACCATTAAACAAAATTTTTCACTCCCAACCACAGTAAAAGAAAGCAAAAACTCCATTACATGGGAGTGATTCTCTTGCAGTTAGAAGCTTTCTTGGTGATAGCCCCACTGAGCATTTTTCCTTTTCTCTACTTTCAGCAGCTCTGTCAAGCAGTCCTCTGAATTTTCCAGTAGAGGTAGATAAGCCAAGTCAGCTTCCTCTCAGAGCAGCTCTCAGGACATGCACAACAAGCTTTGTTCCACTCCTTACAAATAGCTCTAGATGCCAGAGTATTCTTAGGCACAATATGCAATCACATGGCACAGTCACTGATAACAGCCTGAAACTAACCTGCCTCTGTAGTGATCGGTAAAGAGAAGAAGGTGTCTGCAAAGAGCGGTTTAGGAAGTTCCTTCGGGTCTTCACTGAAAAGCTGAGTAAAAGCTCGTATGCTGATTCTAGAAAATACAGTAAAAAAATGGTTCATCAGATGTTCAGAACCAACAGCAGAAAAGTAAAAACTCATTTTCCCCTTTGAGACAACGAAAACCTTTCCACTGACCACAGATAATTCTTAATATAGACACCTGAGTTAATCAGTCTTCTACCTAATTAATAATACTGATCCCTGAGTTAAATATGGGGGACTACAGCCAGTACAGGTGGAGGGCCCTGAGGTACCCTGGCAGAGGTAACAGATGGGGCTCTGGCTGCAGGCACACATAGCCTGACCACGTCTAAAGGCAGGACTAGCAGAAGCTGCAGAGGAGAGAGGACTCAGAAATGCTTCTCAGGGGGGACACACTTTCCCTTCACTTGGCTGGACATGACTGTGCTAATGGATAAATGTTATAGTCCTCTTTGTTCTCCTGGTAACGTGGGTGTTTGCCAGACTAAGTTTTGGGAAATGTGCCCTAATGAGAGCAGCCTATAGTAGGCTAGCACTGTTTTAATGATGATGAAGAAGCTGAGAGGCACAATGGGCACCCCTTGGCATGTGCCTCCTGTCCATGTGGCTTTTCAGTGAGCAGCTTGCAGGTCTCTTGGGACAGTATTTGCCTATGGTGGGGGGGGGGGGTGTGACTGAGCCACACTGGAGCTCATGTTTGGTCTCACAGCCAGTGTAACTTCTGAGGCTGGTGTTGGCAGTCATCCTCTTCTACACCCTACAGCTAACCTGGACCTAGCTCGGGAGCCTGTGAATGGTGCCACAGGACAGAATGGCCTCCAGGTTTTTCTAGCTTGTTCCAAAAGAACAAGTGGGGTAGTTCTGCCAGACTGAGTGAAGCATGCTTGCCTTCTTCTTGCCTTAACTTAGCCAATTGTCTTCAGTCTTTCTAAAGAAATGTTGAGCAGCAACAGGAGAGCTTCCCATGAAGTTGATGTAAATAAATAAACCTATTCACTGCACAGAGTTTTGTGCATAATTAATCATATCATTCCCATGCTAGTGGATGACTGGTTCTTACCTATGGAATAGGGCCATGGATAATAAAGCTTTCATAAATTTGCAGTGAAACACACAGAACATTGTACAATGCAGTCACTAATCTACTGAAGCTCAAGTGGATAAGGCACCCAGATGACACCAAGCCTAATATATAAGAGCACAACTACCAATATGAGTCTAACCTGTACGCAGTTCGAGGCTTTAGAGGTCCATCACAGAATTTCTGGTGATCTGGATCACACTTTCCTCCCAGATTTTCCATTTCTCCTCCAAGCTTAATGTCAAAGCTTTTATAGTCACTGTCAGGGTTTTCAGCACAGCTACTGGCAAAATAATTTGTCTGGTAGATGCGTATAGAATCATTGTGTTTGTACTCCAGGTAGGAGGGTAACGGGTGCTGCTCATCGGGCTTTGGTCCTTCACTGCCTATGCCATATGCAGAGAAAGACAGAAGGTTTAGATGCCACAGCCATTAATGTGATGAGGTTTAAAGGCTCAAGCTCTTGACAGACATGTTCTTATCCAATTTTCTATTTCTTGGAGGCTACCTCACGAATGCAAAGCTACAATGGTTAGGGTACCTTGTTTCTAGTACCAACCTTTCTATTATTTTTTTGACAGATTTCCTCACAAGTCCTCAGTGCAACTTTTGCTGCAATAGGCATGCACAGGTCAATTGCTATGACTTTTTTCCTGTGCTGTTGTTGGGAGTTTTTGTGATCCAGATTCCTGGATCCTACTACTAGCTATTTTAAAAAGAAGTAAAAACCCCATAAACGGACAACTCTACTGTATATAGAGAAAAACTACAGTAGGAAATTGCAGGGACCTCCTGAATGTAAATTCACAATACTGGAAGAGACTCAGATAGGCAAGCTATAGCAATGAGTAGTCCTTCTCAAAGAGCTTTATAGCTTGCCCAAACATGACAGAGCAGACAGTGGAAATATTATCTGGTTTTTTTTCCTAAGGGCTGATGGACAGAGAGATTAATAACTTTCATAAAGGTCACAAAATATGTCTTAGTATGCCAGAAAATGCAGCCACTTTTAAAAACAAGGTATAAATTGTTGAGACATGTATCTGATTTGCCAGACACACATCTCAACAATAGGTCAGCTGTAGAAAGGGAGGTTTACATGCATGTCACAAGGACCATTTCTGTTCTGCTTTATGGTGCTGCATGCAAAGTCATTTTCTTCAGTTAGCAGACATCACCTGGCAGACCTGTGGCTTCTCAGCATGGTTTACTGAGACTCTCCAAGGGGGTTGCCTTTTAGTGTTCACACCTAACATTTAAACTACCTTTCAAAATCTATGTTCACTATGATCTGTGTTCACTGGCAATGGCAATCAACATAAGCCTTCGACTACAAAAATTGTCTGAACATACATGACAGTGTAATCTAGAGTACTGCTTCTGTCTGAACTCTGTAGTTGCTACAGACTCTCTGAGAATAGGACTCTGTACATCCTCAGGCTAGGGAGGAAGTATAGATCCAAAACCTGTATGACACTCAGCCATTAGATAGGAGAAACCCTGTTGCTGTGCAGTGATAGGGATGTACTTCCCCATGTAAATTTTATTGGCTATGGAGAGAATAGCATTAAATCATGACACTTACCATCAGCCTCCCTCACAACCACAGTAAAGTACTTCACAGCTCCATTAGTATCACTAAACCAGCTGCAGTTGAAAGTAAAGTTGATGGAGGATTTGGTAATCAGCACCTCTTTTTTGTTCACCCGTACATCTGGAGGTGGCTGAGGAGGACCTGAGTAATTAAATAAATAAAAAATAGATACAAAATAGAGAAAAAGCATTACTTATGTACTTGCTGTGAGATAGACCTAATAAGGAAAATGCAATTTGTAATAAATCTTGGTTGCCTGGACCTAAGTCTCTGATTCTACTCTCTTTGCAATCAAGAAAGTGTCTTCACCTCCCACAGTGAAACTGCCAGAAGATGAAACAAGTCAGCAGTGTGTTCACCATAATAAGTGTGACACCTCCTCAGTATGAATTCCTGCAGAAGCCCACATGGAAATGCATTAAAGTCATGTCAAGCCTATGAAAACAGAAATTGTAGCTGCTGAAAACAACACAGTTTTAAGCCAAGCATTTGGAGGCCACTTAACATACTCACTATAGACATTACCTATTTCAAGCATATATATTTCTGCTTTCTTTTCCAGAGGAACAGCCAGGGTTAGCCAGACAGAACACTCAACTACAGAGTACCATTTTCTAGTCTGACTGCAGAATGTCCATAGGAAATGTTCTTTGTATGATACAAAACTATACTTTGAACATTGACACAGTAGAAGTAAATTGGAAAGTGAAGTTCACAGGGAAGAAAGTGCAGCAAAGGTGGTGATTTTAAGGATCTACATTACTGATTCTTTTAAAAATCTGTAGTACTGAAACTATATTGCACATATGGGAAACATATAAAAACTGTAAGCAGAAGGCTAAATTTCAAAAGCTTTTAGAATGCCAAAAGAACCAAAAATTCACACAATTATACGCTTTTTAGCTAGACCTCTTACATCTATGAAGTCTAGCTGCAATTTTTTTTTGTTTCCTTGAGGTAGGGCCTCCAGTGTTAACCAGGGTCTGGGAGAGCAGCAGTGTTCAAAACAAGTAAGTGACAATAAACAAACATGAACATAAACCAAATAAGAGTAAACATGATCAGCAAACTTTCAAACAGGACTCAGTCTCACCTCTTGTGACATGAATAACTAGGACTTACATCTGGATTTGTAGTATCCTTTGTGATAGGGGAAGGAGATTAAAAGGCAATTGAGGGGCAAAGGAGAAGGCAGTTTGGTGACTGAACTCTAGCTTAGCTCAACAGCTCCCAAAGCAAACATAATTTTTATGATCTAGCATTTCACATAAACGTGGCTTTTAAAAAGCAGCTACAGAGGCATCCCTGAATATAGGACTCCTGGCTCTCCTCTCATTTTTGAGTTTAGCCCTGGAACAGAGCAGGCCTCTGCATTGTGCTGTGCCACTGAATCTTGATGCAGTGCAAAATCTGGGGCAGCTCTAGGGTCAGCAGTGGCAGGCTGTTGACTGCAGTGATGCCTGGCAGTGCAGAAGTACCAGCAGATACTACTGATACATTCCACTCAGCAGCCTATGGGTAGAGAAACTGAAGAATCTATTTCAAAGCACATGCTATAGATATCTGGATCCTCCCTCAGGTAAAAGTCCTGCAGGTGATTTGGCCAGGTAGCACCTCAGAAGAGTCTACAGATGCCAAAAGAGAATGTGGTACTACAATCCAATGTCCTTATTGATGGATATTTGTGCTGAGGATGGCTACCATCAATAAGGGGTACAGATGGCCAGATACAGAAAGCCAAGCAGCAAGCATGAAGACAACTGATGAAAACAAGGCATGTGATGATGAGGACAAAGTATTTATGTTTCTCAGGCTATATTTAATGAATGAGCCAAATAATTGTGTTTGGCAATGTAATGAGAGGCAATATAGTCAAAATCCTGCATGGTCTGTTACAACAGAGACCAAAGAATGGGTTCAGTCTACTTTGGCCACCACTCCACACACCGGCAATTGTGGAGTTCAGAACTCCTTTTACTGTCTAAGTAACACGAGCATTTGCTTATTGCTGCTCAGTGCTGGTCTTCAGGGCAACCCTGAATTGCACTTACGATCAATCATTGTGATGGTGCTGTCTTCAACCACTTCACTCGTCATGTCTGCAGAATGCACCTTGATGGACACCAGGTATCGCTTGTGGGGAACAAGGGTCATAATATTAAGCAGAGATTTGTCTTTTTCTATCCTTTTAGAAAATTCCACTTCACGGGTGTCCATCTTCTTGCACTCAACGCTATACCCATCAAAATCAGAATCGGGAGGAGTCCAGGAACACGCGATGGCAGTAGAGGTTTGGGGCCGACAGTGAAGGCTTTGTATCTTGTCTGGCTCTAGAGAAATGTTAAGAAGTTGAAACTCAGTGGGAAAAGGGACAGGTGTCACACACTCTCTGCTCACACTACAGCTCCTAGATTCTGCATCAACCATCAGATCAGAACAGGAGGCTGGGAGTCAGAATTCCCAGTTATCCTGCAAATGTGTGCTGCCTGATTATTATGTAAGGCTGTCTAACTCATTTTAGCCATCTGAAATCAGATCTAGCGACATCTGCCCCATTAGCATTGTGAAGCTCCAGTAATTAATTCTGAAAACAAGGAAAAGATTTCAATCCTACTTGATGAAGTCTTAACATGAACAGCAACACCACAAAGAAATGGATTTCTAGAAAGTTGTTACAACTTATTTGGAGGCTTCATGTGGTCACTTATATCAGTAAATACTGATACTGTCATCTCATGACTGATCTGGTTTCCTGGGCAGCATGTGATATGTCCATATTACTCAAACACAACATAGAAATATGCTTCATCCATGTAATATGGGAGCAACATTTATATCATGTAACCTGTAACAAAGACAGGATTTCAGTCTCAGATGGCAGACATCTACATTTAAGTGATTAAGTACAGGAGAAATTTTAATTATTATGCTGTATTAAAGAGTATATAGCTTACTAAACATAGATGTCAATTTACAGCTGAATCCTACCCCAAATAACATGAGGATTTGCCACTACTCAGTTATTTTTACAATTTCATGTCACTTTTTTAAATCAGCCTTTTACTGAAGTTGCTAGAGACAGCTAGAGATGAAACAGATTCACAGACATGGGCAGAAATGCAGAGCAGTGAAACACTGATTCCAGTTTCAAATCTAGTACAGCACAGTTTCTTTCATCCCTCCTGTCTTACCATTCAGAAACATGATTATTTCAATATACTACTATCAGAGAAGTTTGGATATTCAACCTTATTTTACCCCTGAAACAGACTGATTCAGTCTCTGCAACCAAACAGCTTGACTCTGGATGTGAAGATTATAAATGTATGTCCATTATCAGTCTTTAAACAGCTGACCTTGCACACAGCAAGAGCTTAGAATCTAGCTGAATTCATCACTGTCATTCATGAATTTATTAATGGAAATTACTGATTGCAGAAGGAATTCGTAATATTTTACAGTTTTGCATCTTCTTCAGCTGAGTGTTAGGGTGCAAGGGAAATTTTTACTTACTTGTTCTCACAGTTGCAGACTGTGACTGGCTGTATGTCTTCCAGCTGTCGCCACTGACAGTTCTGACTCTGAACTCATAGAGCCTCCCTGGTCGCAGGCCATAGATGATGCGTACTTTAGATTTGCTGCTGCTGTAGGGATTGAATACTGTGAGGGGATCCTTTGGAAGCCACTGCACCTCAAAATCATCATAGTCTGTCCAGTCTGGAGGACCCAGCCAAGTGATTGATAAAGAAGTGTTTGCAACATCGGTAAATGACACAGTGTTAGGAGGCCTGGGTGCTATGCAGAAAGGGGGGAAAAAAGGAGAGAGGAAAAAGAGATTCTTAACAAATTTTTACACAAGACAAATAAAATGAAACATGGATTATTTTCTTCATGCATCACAAAGTAGTTTGTATTATCTGATATACAAAGCCCGTTACTGCACCTGTGCTGATGATGGTGACTTTCACAGTTGTAAAATATTCCTGAGCCTTTGAAAGAAAAACAGCGCTGACTGCTTTTCTTTCACATTCCATTGTTTTAATGCTCTTAAGGTTATCCGTCATCTTTATACCTTCAATGACTCATAATAAATCCTCCCTCAGAACAAGTCTGTTGCATAGTTGTGAACTAATGAATTCAAACAGATGGGACAAAAAAAAAATCCCATACCTGTTCTTCCTTCAGCATTTGCTGTGTTGGTCAGCTCACCACTGTGAGTCACCACGACCAAAGTATACTTTCTGCCAGGAACAAGCCCCTGGAAATGCCACTCTTCCAGATCTTTCATTTGCTCAGTTTCTTTCTGTGTCCCATTTGGGTTGTAAAGATTCAGCTCATAGAAGTCAACATCTCCTGCTGCTGGACCCCAAGTGAACCACAGACTGTCTGTCATGTTTCGGTTGGATGCCTTGAGACCAACAACTGGGGCTGGTACTGAAAAAAAGAAGGAATGAATATTACTTTATGTAGAACATCCTTTGGGTGAGAAGAAGCAAAAAGGTCAAGCAGACCTTATATCTGTCCTGTAATGATAGTAATTTTATAAACCAGACAGCCACCACAGCTGGCTGAAAAGCATAAAGCATATCTCAGATGCTTCCTTTACTATTTTGAATTGCCACTGTTACCAAAAGAGGTTGCAATGTTTATAATGGACAGTTTTGCAAATATGAAGCAGCTTTTTCCTAGTCAGTATTTGGAAACACCCATTTCTGAGGTAGCTGAAAAATCGCACCTACTTGCAGACGTAGTCCCACAGATGGGTTCCTATATGGTGCCGCAGGAGAATAAAGAAAGGTTACACAGAATGCCACAGCTGCTAGAGCTGCTTAGAAAGCCGCTTCCCACATGTGGCTGAACAAACACAGAGCTGCAGCCAGAGCTTCCCATGGGAAACAAGTTTTATTTCACTGGTAGACTGGCTATCCTATTAACCCTACTTGCTTTGCCTTTTTGCTTTTTCCACTCAGGCCAATATTGCTTTTAGGATGGAGAGACAGCCATTTTCCTGCTTAGGGAGCGTACACTGGGATGTCTTTCTTCTGACATGAGCTCCTGGGAACTGTTGTAGGGCTCTTCATTTTTCCTGCTGTAACTCCATCATTCAGAATTTATCTTTTCGTATATCTAATGCTTTTTACATATTAGACACGATTTGGATACTTCTAATAGTTGCTCTAATCTAGTATGAGCATCAGACTCAGACCAGCTCACTGGTATCCCCCATGAGCACTACACTGGAGACAGATAGTTTTCTTAGATGTCCTTGCCTGTTCTTCCATAGACAGATGACTCATTAGTGAGGTTTCCACTGTGTGTAACAATGACCATTCGATACATCCTGCCTTGATGCAGGTTCTGGAACGAACACTGCTGGAGATGCTTCTCTCCTGAAATCCTGTCATGAAGGGACTTGTCTGGATTGTACAGGAAGATGTCATACGAATCGAGCTCCCCTTGAGAGGTGGTCCAGCTGAAGGACAGTCGGTCAGTGGTGTTCTCTGTGACTTTCAGATTTGTAACAGCTGCTGGAACTGAAAAGAAGGTAAGAGTACATATCAGAGTCTAGGCACTAAGCTGAACCTTTAATAAGCTCATGGCTGTAACACATTTCAATTAAGCCACAAGTAGCTAAGTAATATCAACAGCAACTGTCAGAAACAAGAGGAGAGCTTTTATGAAATGCCATTGAGTCTCTCCAATACAGTATTTTTATTTCCCAGAAGGCCTGATTCTCTAGACCATGCTTACAGAGAACTGTCCATTATCTTCTACTAGAAGCTATAAATCAGTAAGGACCGCAAGCAAGATTTGGCCTTGAATTTAGAAGTGTGTATTCACATCAAATCCCAGACTAAGAACCTTGAGACTGTGAATTAAAAACTTGATGACAATAAAGCATTCAGGTATATCCACAAAAGACAGAGGGAAGCATTCAGCATTTTGGTTTAATATCCTTATTATGAACCATGGTCACAATATTATGATAATTAAGTTCAGATTCACATACAAAGCATGAATTAGGAAAAATGATGCATAAACATCCAGAGTCTGTACATTACCAGAATCTTTGTAGAATCAAAATACACAGATGGTTCATGTATTTAATGATATCTGACTGAGGGAAACATAAGTAAACCAAGATGTTCTAATTACCTGTTCGGCCAAAAGTTTCTGCACGCTTACTGAAGAGTCCACCACTGACTGTCAAAACTTGTATTTTATACTTCTTGCCAGCTAGTAAATCTTCAAATTTGTGTTGTTTGGCAGTAGCTGGCTCTGATTTGTTACTCAGGAGGATTCCTTGCTCGCTCAAGAGAAGAATGTCGTATCTTTCGGCTACACCAGGAGCTTTCTGCCAGGTTACTAACAAGGAATGACTGCTGTATGCATGATGGGCTAATAATTCCTGGACAGAGGCTGGAACTGGAAGCAACAATTAAAGGCAGGATATTACCAGGTGAAATACAGACCATTCAATATACAAATCTGAATAAAGTAATTAACAGAACATAACTCTATATATTTTCAGGTTCACTCGTGGGAAAAGAAATGTCTGTGCATATATTTATGTAAACAACTAATTCCTAGACATAAATACAAACAGATGAAGTTACAGAGCATCATGGATATCTGAATCGGGAATGGAGAAGCAACAGACATATACAGACTATCATGAAAAGATGGAGAAGGAGAGTGAAATGAACCAACTGAAACAGTTAAGAAAGGAATATGAAAACTAAAGGAGTGGTAAATTGGTGCAAAATAGTAGCCCAGAATAGAAAATGTTAGCCAGCAGCTGCTGCACAAAAGTCAAGGCCATAGATAACAAATGAAGGTGCTAAAGAGAGAGGATACATTAAAAACAAGGTATTGCACTGTTTTGTATGTTCTGACACCCTGGACACTGGGGCAATATGTTGTCTAACAAGCCTTGACCATGCAATAGGCTCGGCTAGAACACAATACTTGCCTACATGGAGTGGATGTATGTGTCAGATGGGTACGGGCATAGGAAATGAGAGGGATGGAACTGCGTTCATCCTATGAAGGAAGACACTGGGCTGGACTAGAATTCCATGCACATTCACCCAGGTAAAGCAACTGAAATGACACATCTCACTGGTATTAACAGACCCATGCCAACATCATGACTCATGCTTTGAGATAAAAACTTCCCATGAGTGTGAATGTCCCCATGCCCTATGGTACATTCATAAACATTATTAAACATTATCAAACAAGGGTCAGTCTATGGGAAGATAAAATGCAACTTTCTCGTCGTCTCAAGCAAAACATACTTGTTCTCCCAAAAGCAGCTAAGCTGTTGTGCAAGGTGCCACTGTTAGATTGCACCAACACCCGGTACTGCTCCCCAGCTTCCAACTTGTGAAACATGTGCTCAGAGATGTGTTTGGAGACACTCTGAGAATCAAGTTGATGGTTTTGTTGAAATATAGTCACTGTGTAGGAATCAACATCTCCACCTCCAGGGGTCCAGCTCACTTTCAGACTGTTTGTCATGCCATTAGGTGACACATGAATGTTTCGGACCTTGCTTGGAACTGGAAAAAAACAGGGAACAAAAAGGCACCTGCTCACAAATTTCCTGTTTGACTCAGGCTTCCTAATTTCTACTTATTTTATGGCCACAAAAAACTGATTCAAAAGAGAAAGATCATTTACAGGTACAAATAATGTCATTCATGGGTAAACATAAGTAAAGTTGTAAACATTTGTGTGGGATTATTAGAAACACAGTTCTATGTGTAATCTCCCTCTTGTCCATATGATGCCTTAAAATCACCTCAAAAAATGAAGGCTCTTTAGGTACCCTCAGTTAGTTAGTAATTTCTCCATCATTATCTCAATCATTCCCTTCAGGTAGGTAAACAGAGGTGTAAAATAAGTAAGTGATTTAACTAGAGACACTAAGCAAACAACTGGCATGCATGGGAATAGCAGAAACCTAAATGCTGACATCTCAATACAAATCAGATTGTCTGCCAACAATCAAGTGTTAGTAAATGCGACACTTTTTTATTAAGCATGGGTGTTGGCTAGGGTGATTTTCAATGAGATCTGCTGTCTCTGAGCCAGTGTTACATAAACTTGAATATAATCATGGCTCACCCTTGATTTTGAGTGGTTCATTCTAGAAAAGCCTAAACACATTTTAAATACCACATTATTTCTTACTTGTCAGGCCTTCTATGAAAGTAGCACGCTGTGCATCTCCACTGATGGTCAAAACAAGAATCTTGTATAGACGTCCTGGAGTCAGAGCTGTGAACCAATACTCCTCAATGGTGTTCTCAAGGAAAATGGGTGGGAAGATCTTCATATCATTGAAGAGGAGCTGAATCTCATACTTATCAACATCCCCCTCAGCCTTTGACCAAGTTACCTGCAGATCTTCTGTGCTTCTGTTACTAAGAGTCAGTTCCTTCACTGACTCTGGCACTGAAGAAGTGAGAAGAAAAATGGGAAACTTCTCAGTACTTACTAACAGATCACAGCAAAAAGCTAGTAGCTCTGAAGTCATCCTTCTGAGCTACAATTCTTCATGCAGTTCCCTTGAGAAAGCAGTAGATTGCACTTATTTGGGTAGTTTACACCCCATCTAACACTGGAAGGTCCCATTTCAGAATAGATGTCCACAATTTATCAGCATAAAAATAAGAAATAAATAATAATGTAGCCTGCAGAGAGTTCACCTAGCCAACAAAAACTGAGTAAGACCTGCACGTACAACAAAGACAGAGAAAAGAGGCCTGAGCTAGTGCCAAGTCAAGGCAATCCATCTGTGTGATGCAGCACCACAATCCAGTTTCCAACTTGTGCCAGACACAGATGAGTTATTTTTGCCCCATGCTACATCTTTGTTAATAAACTGAGTTTCTCAGCATGGCTTCTTAACTCACACATGGTGCAAGGTGAAGATTGCACCCGGATCCCTGCTAGCTCCCAGCCAGCCACCTTACCACTCTTGCCCCATGCTCTCCAATTCCAGTGCTTGGGGTAGTTTGAATCGACTGAGGTCTGGTCTATCTTCTGTCCTATCTATTTCCATGACCAGAGAAAACTGTTTAGTACATTCTGGCATAATTCTGGCATAATGATAAATACTAAGCTCATGTGGAAAATTGTACAACTGGTTTTTTTGGCTTTTAATGTTTCAAGATTTGCTTTCCAATTGAACAACACAGGTCTCTCACTTTTTGCTTGTTTGTAACATAAACACTGGTAATAAACTAAATACTGCTTTCTTGTATTATTTGAAATAATACACATTCAAAGAGTCAGCGTCAACATTCTATGTTAAAAATCATATGAGATTTTTGTTCCTGGGTTTGGTAAATAAAAAAAAAATACCCTGGGTTGTCTCAGAATGTTTCCAGGGTGCTTACTTACTTGTTCTGCCATAGACTCTTTCACTGGTTTCGTATGTCCCACTCCTTGTGCTGACCGTGACACTGTACTGCCTCCCTGGGACCAGACTGGTGAACACACATTCATTTTCATCCTTTGGGACACTTTTTGTTTGGATGAAATCATTGTTGTTCCTGATGGTCACTTCATAATTATCAAAATATCCAGATGCATGTAACCAGGACACCTTCAAGTAGTCACTTCTGGCTGAATTGCTGACAGTAAGTCCCTGGACACTTGAAGGGACTGAAAGAAAAAAAAAAAGCAGAAACTTCCTGAAGTTACCAGAGTTGTGGCAGAGAGCTGTATTTGTGGTAGTTAGCAGACTTTTGTGAGGAAGTTGCAAAAAAACAACAATTTGGATTTAAGTAATAAAGTAGTAGCTGCACTTTCCAGGCTGCTTTACATCTTATGACAATAAAATTATTTGCCTTTCTAATTTTTGGTCTTATGGAACTTGCTCCATTTTTTGAAGAGTAGTGAGTTCCATGGACAAACACTGATCCAAAATTTGGTTCTCATCCTTTTGTGGCTGTTCCTTGGATTTTCACTAAGATCATGAGAAGACTAAAATTGCACCAACTTGATACTCTTTGTTATTTTAACACCCTTTACAATCTTTCTTTTGTTTTACTGGTTTACCAAGTGTAAAGTCTAATTTTTTTCCATTTTTGAGAAAGTTTTAAAAGGTCCTCCATCATTATTGCCATCTTTTTCTGAGATTTCTCTATTCCTGTTATAATATCCTTGAAAATTGCATGACCAAAACCATAGATACATGTGTTACATTGCCAAAACCAATTGACATGGGTGTTACTCATGATGAGTGACACCTCACTAATATTTTACTAATTAGCCCATCCTTCTCTGTTCTTTCAGTGCCTGAGTAACTTTCTGAGGAGATGCTCTGCAGGATATACTTGAAGGGCCACATAGAGGCATTAAGGGCAGGACAACACATTTGAGCCAAAACTGACACATTATTTCTGTTGACTCATAAGGACTGACATTTCTTTCATTCATGCTAAAGTATTTTTGCATGAAACAAAGCAGCAACAGGGGCATAAGAATAAAACGAAGTCTATAAAGCTGTAATTTCATGGCTTGACCCTCCAACCCCTAGTCATGCATCCCAGTTTGGTCAGCTATTGATAAATCATTGGTAATGGCCATTACCAACATTAGCCATTACCAACAGAACAATGTTTACAGTGACTGTACTTGCCCAGAGCCTCTCTTTACCTGTTCGTTCCTGGCTGAGGGAGTAGTTTTCATACTTTCCACTCTTGGTGGTTATCATCACATCGTAAAGTGTCCCAGGAGTAAGGCTGCTGAAGGAGCATTCACTGAATGATTTGGAAATGGTGAGAGTCTGAACAATCTTGTCATCATGAGAGAGTGTTACCAAATAACTGTCTACATCTCCAGAAGCTGGCAGCCAAGAAACACTGAGGTAGTCACTCCGACCTGAGTTATTTACTGTTACTCCAGTCACGCTGGAAGGAACTGTGCAATACAGAGGAAAAAACAAACAAAAAAAGCATTTACTAGCCACTTTTTATTGTTGTGAGTATCCCTGTAATGCCATCCCCTGCAAAATAAGCAGTCTGGGACTCCTGAGAAGTTCTGCACTGACTGCCTCTCAGCAACATTCATCTCCTTTTTTAAATACAGTGAAGGAAATTGTCCTTGGTGGCCTGATCCCAGCATTTCTAAAATCCTAGAAGCTGAGTTATCCTCTCAAATTGCCATTCCTCAGTAACGACAATAACTGGTGAGGCTGGTAAGAGGCTGAGGCCTACAGCTGAATGTTTCATTTCCAGTGGGTTCTCTGACGCCTAGTGGACAAAACACGAATACCACTTGTTTTTCAAGCCAGCAAGGTGAGCTTAAAGGCTCTGCATTGCCAGAACTATCATCACTCAGGTACAAAATTCAGTTTTTGCAGGGACAGAACTTAGACATAATGAACTTCCAAATTTTAACTGGACTCTGTTGGACTGAACTTACTTATCTCAGCAGAGGGGCTGGCCAACAGCTGTCCGAGTCAATCCCCCTCCCACCATGATTTTACAAAATACACTACTCTACTTTAAGCCTTTTAGTATTATTCTTCTCCATTTTTTTTCAGATTTGTTTGGCCTTTTCACCTGAAAATAGTGGTTTTCAAGGAGAACATTGCAGAAAACTGCAAAATGCCTGGCCTTTGCCAAATTCACATTACAGGTAAAATTGCACTATGTTGCCAAATTTTCCCTCTAAATATCCACAGAACTAGTATTACATTTCATGACTCTTTAAACCTAAAGAATTTGATGCAACAGTAAATCTTGTTCTATGAAGTACAGAAGGACCCCATAATAACTAATTAGCCCTGGTGGACATTCTTTGATGCTGGATTAAAGAAAAAGAATGAGTTGTGAGAAACTGAGACACAAATTCACCCTACCACCTTTAGGCAGGTTCTTGGCACACATAAGTAAGGAGCAATCCTACTACACCACCACCACATAGCCAATGGAACAAGAAAGTCCCTTCCAAGGAGTGATTTGCCCAGACAGTTGCTCATTACTCTCAGGGCATACTTTTGTCTTTGTTACAGAGTGATCCTGCTGTAGAGTTCCCACTGCACTGAGAGCAGTTAGCTCTCTGAAGCTGTATTTACACAAATCTGCATGACAGTGTGCACATATGGAGCTGTACGGATGAAATTCCTGTTTTTCTGAATTCTCAGTGTAGTGGCTTAAACACAAGACCATTCTCTTAGATAAATTCAACTATCAAAAAGTGTGCTGGAGTGTTTTCCTTTTTACCTGTTCTTTCCTCTGCAATTGTTTGCCTTGAAGATATTCCTCCACTGACAGTGGTGACAACAACTGAATAGAGTCCTCCAGGTTTCAGGGCATAGAAATGATATCTGTTAGTTTCACTGGGAACAGTTTCATTTTTAATGACAACATTCTCATGAATCAGTAGCACTTGGTATGAGTCTACATCTCCCAGTGCTCTTGTCCAGTTGGTGAACAAGCTGTTGGTTGATCCCTGACTTGACACAGTCAGACCTGTCACTTGCGCTGGCACTGAAAAGGAAATTGTCATACTGTTACTGAGGAGAAACAAAATAAAACAAAACAGAATCCCCCAAAGAACACAAGTTTAGTCACACTGAGGAAGTGCATCAAAAGAACATTCCAATTTGCAGCCAGACTCAACAGGACTAAAAATACTTTAACTGGGGACTGCTTCCTGTCTGGGATGTGGTCTATGGGAAACTAACTAAGACGCAGAAAGGTCTTTCAGCCTTTAGCACAACTTTTCTCAGACAGATGAAAATGATTCAAGATCAGGGAACTGGAAGAGATGGCATTTTATGAATACCATTAAATAAATGCCATCCATTTAGGAAATCATTCAGGGTTTTTGATGACTACTTCAAATATAGTCTGTGCCTTTAATTTTCCCTTTCCTCTCCCATTCCCAATCTTTAATTTCTAATAAATGGCAAACTTGTTTGAAGAATACCTCAGGCATAGTCATCTATGCTGTGTCAGACCCTTTAATTTTGAGGATAACGGAAATGCATGGTTATGGTTTAACTTTTTATGTAAGAAGATCTGCAGGATAGCAACTTTTATAGCATCAAAAGATGAATTGTTAAACAAACATAACATTTATCCAAGCATAAGCTCATCAACTTAGCAAGACCAAAAAGGATCAAGAAATAACAAAGGAATGTAATATGCAGCACAAATTTTTCACCCAATCCTCTTTTTTAATATGGTTTGACAATATTTGGTCAAAGCAAGGAAATACAAATACTTCTAAAGATTTCTTTTTACATGACCAAGCACAACGGAAATAAAGAAGACTCTAACTTTATAAAATGTGAATGCACTCTTCCGCTCTTGTTTTTTATCAGCCTTTTTGCACACATAGTATTGGTTTAGTAATCATTAAGAAAAGCTAGAAAGTTAGGCACAAAGCTGAAGAAAATGCAAAGTTGACAAAAAACTCAATCAAAAATCCTTCCAGTTTTATAATGTTCTCATAATATAGCTAGCTCCAACAAGACACTAAAATGTCATATTTCTGTGCTGAATGCTCATTTCAGTGCTCTTTGCAAGTAAGGCCTACTTCTGTCATGTTTACAGCAATATTTTTAAGCCTAGTAAGCTGTCCTGCTGCAAGGAAGAATCAGAGGTTTGGAATGCTTATTAAAACCTATGTTCTAGCTAAATAATGTTTGTTCTTTATAACTAACTTTGAATGTAATATTGACACACAATCAGTGCCTGATGTGTTTTCAAGCATTGACTCATACTAGTGAAGTGGGACCTTTATGGTTGAATAGGTCCCCTAAAGGGGTATAAGTCAGATGGAAGTGAAATTCCAGCTATCTAATAACATAACAGAGAAATCGAAGTATAAGCTAAACTTCTCAGGTCTTGGAAGGAGTTATAAAATTTAAGTAAGGACCACCATCAACCCTAGGAATGCTTCGATTCAAACACAAGCAGCTTATTTTTCCCTGTGCTGTGCAAGGCCAGAGCTACATTTTAAAACTTTGTTTGCACTGGAGAATGTTTAAGTCAGTGCTTAAGCAGAGTAAAGCAACCTGTATGGTTTAAAACTTGCACGTGTGCACAAAATCAGCACCCTGCAGGGGTGAGAATGGGACCTTCCTTGTGACACAGTCATCATCCTCAGTAACAAACACATATTCTGAAATCAGAAGAGCAAAAAGATTAGAAACACATCTTCAAGTTCACATATGTGACCTTGTGTCTGTCAACCTTGGAATGTTCACCCTAAAGTAACATTTTCCTGTGTGGTGATGTTTCTCTTTTTCCCAGATGATGGATGCTTTGCATCAAGGAAGTGACCCTCCTGAAAATACACAATGAAAATGGTTCTTCTTAAATGGAGTCTTGTGCTAATGTAGATTGACTAGATATGACATAATATTTCAGAAATCTGTTTTGCCAGGAATTACACATCTATTTTCCAAAAATCTTGAATAAATACAGCAAGATAACTGACAGTCAGAAATTAGAGACTCAGACATGTAACTTTTTTACTGAGGAAACAAACATAAGATCAAGACTTTTGAGATTTAGACACCGAGTTAATTAAGTTCACTGCAAAGCAAAAAGAAAATTGTTAATGGTTGACAGAAGTAAAGATTAAAACAGTTTGATAAGATGATACCTGTTCTTCCTTCTACCGAAGTCCAGTTGCTTAAAGTCCCACTAATGGTAGTGATGATTGCTGTGTATTTCCTTCCAGGTATCAAGTCAGTGAAAGTGAATTCCTTAGCTTCTTTTGCAAGTCCTTTTTTTACAATAGGGAGCTCACTGACTTCCAGGGAAACCACATAGCTGTCCCATTCTGCAACAGGGGTCATCCACATGACACTAAGTGAAGTTTCATTAGCGTGCTTCACACGGAGTTGGAGAACAGGCTCTGGAGCTGGAAAAGCACACAGATACGACAACAAGAACAGAACTATGTGGTGAGCACACATGTCCTATCTCAAGCTGTTGTAAGAAATGTGTTCTGTAAGACAGAAATGTGACAGCAACAGAGTATCTGCAATCAAGTGGAGATTCTTTACCTTTTTCTAGGAAGCCATCGTTACAAATCTAGTATTTGTGCCCCTCATCCAGTGAAGGACTGTTAGCAGCAGACTTCAGCAATGCACTATGGCTGTAATGCTTAGGTTTAAACTTACACCAGGATATATATTTTAGTGCAAATGGAAACACAGGAAAGTCAGCGAACTTCCTCTTGAACTCTAGGTGCTGAACAGGGATATAAGACATTTGTACTATAAATCAGACCTACAACAATGTACTTCTAACAAACAAGGATGCAAATTATACGGTCAGAGTGACATTGATTTTGCATTGATTTATACCTAAGTCAAGCTGAGAGACACTTCAAACCTAGAGGGGCATAAAAGAATGAATTTGATCAGTGAATTTCTCTGTGTGTTCATGTGTGTCTGTGCCTGCATACCCAGCAAGCACGTCCTGTGCAATATAGTCCCTGATCTGATTTTGTCCCTGTCACATTGAAATATAACTCACTTTCCAAGTCTGTGGGTTAATGAAAGAGAAAACTGAAAACTGACAACCACAACATGGCCTAATACCTGTACTTCATAACAGACACATTATGCACCTCACTGTAGGTCAAACACAGTCATGATACACCCATTGCTGGATATTATTAAACGGACCATGTTTTAATCACAGAATCATAGAATCACTTAGGTTGGAAAAGACCTCTAAAATCATTGGGTCCAACTATTAATCACTTAGATGAGTCAATTAAAAGTAACACCATAAGGTTAAATTAGTTGCAACATATGTCAAAATAAGGAAGATGAGACTGTATCTTTCTCTGATCAAGTTTGCTACAAGTTAGAGAAAGCTTCAGTTCTCTAGCTTCTACAGGTCATTCTGTTGCACAAAATTAACAAAATTAATTGTCGGGGAATGACAGGTAAGGGTATAGTAGAAAAGGCAGGCTGCAGGAAGGGTGAGGATAAAGTAGAATGGCACTCTCCTATCTGACATTTTTCAGTCAAGTAAGGCTTGAGCCTTGCCTGTTATTCCTACTCCAAGTCTTCCTTTCCTCTGAATTGCACTTATTCTGCATTCACTGAGCAGAAATTCTAACAATTATATAAGAATTATTTTTTAAGTTTGAAGCAAATCAGATGCAGCTTTGACTAACACACTGCAAAAGAATTCCACTCATGTCCCTGCAGGGTATATCGGTTTCCTTTGGGAACAAAGGCTTGAACAAACTAAGCCATTTTCTTTATGGAGCACAAAAATAAAAACTGGGATGTTAAAGGACAGCCATACTAAGATACACCTTCACCGTATGGTTAATATTCTTTACACAGACTGGCAAAGAAACATACTGATGAACAATACAGGAAGGCCCAGAGTGCTTTCTTTAAGACCTTTATAGGGTGCCCTACAATTTGCTACAAAATATAGCAGTGAAATGAACATGTAATGTAACACCTGAGTCATGACAGAATCATGATATAGTTCCCATAGCTTTCACTAACACAATATTTACGACAAAAATAATCCCAAAAGTTTTCACAGAGCTGCTAAAATTATCTCAGTAGTTTACAAAGGGAGCTCCTTTTTACTGTATTAATAGTGAAATTAATTTGCGGATTCCCAAGTACTCTTCCATTGCCCACAGAGCTGAACACTTTGCACTCTCACAGTGCCTGGACAAGCATGCTGACCTGTTCTTCCCGTGCAACTCGTCTTGCTCTGCAAATCGCCGCTCTCCACAATGACTTCCACGGTGTACTCCCTGCCTGGGATGAGGCCCACATCACGGACGAGGTACTCGGTGCTGTCCTTGCCGAGGGTGGTGTTGAGCACCAGGGCTGAGCGGTTCCACAGGAGCAGGTGGTACCTCTCCCAGTCTCCCGCAGGGGGCACCCAGGTCACTCGCAGAGACCGCGGCCAGCCACTAGCACCCGCCTGCAGCTCCAAAACTTTCTGGGGAACTGGAGAAAGAGAAAGCAAAAAAGCAATTCTGAAGTGGGGTATTTCTGGTGAGATGTAAATGTACTGGCAAAACCTGTCTCGCAGCACAGCTATTGTACGAGCGCTTGGACTAGCTAGAGCAATGTGAGTTATCTTGTTGCAAAGGTTGGCTTTCATTTTAAACACAATTTTTACTCTTCCCCACAAAAACCACTCACTTATTTTCCTGCTGGTTTCTGACATCAGAAATGGGCAGCCCGTCTTAGGGCACCCCTGTACACTTCTTGGATGCCCCTTGCAGTTTTCAGTCAGGTTCCCTGTTGTTTCCTGCACTTAAGCTCACTTAGAAACTATCAATTTTTCACTGCTAACATTCAAACTTCAATCTCTATCAGCCCAATTCTGGTACCAGCAGCAGAAACGCAAAGCCTAATGACTTCTTTCACAGAAATAGATTCTTCCACCTTGTATGCCCTAATTCCTCCCAACTGTAAAAGGCACTGCGGTTAAGACACTGGTCTATTAAAGCATCCACTCCATCCTGTCCTGTATTTCAAGGATCCTGAATTTACAAGCCTAACCTTCTCCTGTCTAACTGTATGCTCCTGCAGGTCACATTGGAACACTGAAGACTTCTGATTTTCATGGAATAATTAAATATTAGCCAGACCAAGCAGAGATTAGAGGGCAGATGCAGACCCTTAGGACAGGATACCTGTAAGCTTCATGTTAAGATACTCAGAGATCAGCACTGGAGCCCTGAGACCATCCACAAGTATTAGCTACATAACTACAAGGCTAGCATCATGTTCTTATGCTTTATCTAGCTTAGTTAATATTTAATTGATCAGTAGGATCAATTAGTAGCAGAGGATTGAAACCTCTTTACTAGCATCACAAAATACTCACCCGTTTCACTTCCCATGGGCATAGCTGGCTATCAGACCTAGAACTCCCATATGCCAGTGAATATGGGAAATGTGTTTCAATTTCTGAGTGAGTGGATAAAAGCACACAGTGTATTGTTAGGAAGCACAGATGAACTTACATCATAACAGATTAAGTTCAGCCTTATCAGGCTGACTGGACATCATTATACCCTAATGGCACAAAGTTTCAGTCTCTGAGATGTCTGTATTTCTTACTACAACATTTCTTGCCTGGTTCTGCTGCACCCTCTCAATACACAGCAATGTGTATTATGTTCTTGGGCACCTGGCTCTCTCAGTGAATTACAGAGGGACCTCAAGAGTCTAATCTCTTCAGCATCTGTAGACCTGACAGTCTGGACTTATGAATATATCGTTACTCCACAGAGCTTCTGCTGGAGTGACTGTTTTCAAAGCTCTTGATGTCTGTGGTAGAGGAAGGAATTGCTTATGATCAGCATCCTTGGAAATAGGATTTGTAATCCTAAACTTTGAAAGCACAGGGTCTAGGTCACAAAGCTGGGGATCAGTGCTGTTAAATGAGGGCCTGAAGTTCTCCCTTTAGATTGAAATGGTAATCTTAAAGGACTTTAATGGTAGGTTAAACAAACATAACAGACATGCATATAAACTAGTCCAGCTTTGTACTTTCTGGACATGAAAGACTTCTAGGGCTCTTCCAGCCTGCACTGAGAATGGGGTATCAGCCAGGTATGTCAAGGATGTGACTTTCACATGAGATGTTTAATTGTAGACAATAGATATGTACTAAAACAAATACTCTGCTCTCATACACACACATTTTCTCCCTTTGGGTTCGGAGTCTACTAGATATTTATGCATTCTTCACCGAGTTCAGTTTTTTTTTACCATTTAACTTTTGCTCAAGCTAGACTGGTGTGGAAGAGATGACACACCTCTAGGGCCAGTAACACTGTGGGAGAATGATGAAGGATTTTTCAGGTTCAGAACTCATACAAAAGATACCTGAAAGAAAATTATTACTTCGAAGAATTATTTATCTAAAGATAAAAAACTCATAACTCGGCTGTATCTCAGCTGCCACATGCCTTTGTTAATCCACGCTGCTTGTAGTAAAGAAATCTGAGACATAATCATTTCTGGTTTGTAGATTTGTCTGGAAGAAGGAATAAGACTAAACCTTGCAAAATTACTTTAAAGTCTGTAAATAATTTGACTACATGCATACTTCCCCATAATGTAAATCAGTTTATGTAGTACGCTGAGCTGAATTCAAGACAACAAAGTTGGTCAGAAGTGCAGTAGTATGCAACAGTTTTGTAACAGACTCACTCAACTATGAAGTCCAACAAAAATTCACAACTGTTGCCTGCTCCCAAGATATGCAGGAGCTGCTTTTGGCTGTCAGATTAACTGTTGACACAGAGTCAGCAGGGGGTATTCCTGAAACAATATTGTGCTCTAAATCTCATTTTGCCTGGAATCCAAATAATTTTGTCTCTTACAATGATTTGCTACAAGGCCAGTGTAGGCAAAAATTAGTTACAATGTTCTTACTGAAGCAGAAGACTTACATGTCCTCCCAGTTGCCATCCGATCGGTGAACAGCTCACCACTGATTGTGCGGGCAGTAACCTGATACAGACGTCCTGGAGTCAGCTTGTCAAACTGTGTCTCTGTGACTGGTGGCTGCACACTTTTGACTTCTTTAACTGATCCAAGATGAGACAGAGTGATATTATAGAAATTGAGGTTTCCTGAAGGTCTTCTCCACTTAACTTTTAAAGCATCTAAACTGCCATCGTTAGTCACCATCAAATCTAAGACTTCAGCTGGGGCTAAAAAAAGAAAGAGAATAAAATACAACTACCACAAAACATATAAGACCTGCTGCCTCCCAAACTCCCATAGTTAAGTTTTGATTTTGAATAGTTATATGAAGTGGAGTATGAATGATTTTGCTGAACAGTGAAGACTGGTCACAGTGCACATCACTTTCCAAAATCACTTCCCTAAATGCCTCCCATGCAAAACCACCACATTTGATAAGATTTCCATAAAAGAAATTGCATCTTACTCTTCCCAGAAATTAAGGAGAACAAAGGCATGACCCATTTTTTCCCTACACAAGTGTTTTAACCATTGGACTCTAGTAGGATGTCATCTTATCATTATCTCTATGACCACAGAACTCCAGCCCGAAAAATGTTCCTGGAAAAAAAATTTCTATAACTCTAATTCTTTGAATCAGTATTTCTTTGTGAAAAGAAAAAAATCCTGATAATCCCCAAAAACCCATATTAAACCCACCAACTAGGCAAACAAAAACCCCAAACAACCCAAACCACCATTTGATATTGCAATTCTTAACCTACTTTACATTTTTTTTCTGCTTCCCTTTCACACTTTTTCTACTTTCATTTTAGCCTCTAAGTTGTTGCAGTGGTAACTTAGGGAATTAAATAAGCTTATGGTGCCTCTAACTTGGAACACAAATATCATATTATTCTGAAATACGTCCTATAATGCTATTAGGTTATGGTCTTAGCTTCTTGTTTTGTTGTGATGAATTCTGAAATCATACCTGTCCTGATTGTTTGAAAACTGCTGCTCTCCAATCCTGCAGCCTGGGTTATGATAGAGAGGTTATACAGGTGGCCTGCTGTAAGTCCTAAAAAGGTGTAGGAGGTAAGGGAGCCTTCCTGGTGAATCTCATGAACTGGCACATGATTATCCAGCAACAGCAGCCTGTAATGATCCACATGTCCAGAGCCAGAAGACCACGAAACGTGGATAGTGTCTGTCTTAACACTGACCTGAATATTTTTCACAGGAGATGGCACTGTTGGTATAAAAAGGACACATGCTTAAGGTCTAATGGTTATCTCCATCATTTCAGCAATTTTAAATAGACTTAATCTTGGAATATGTTGGGTTTCTTCAGGATTACTGAAAACCCAACCCCAAATATACAATAAAAATGAGACTCTATTCTTAGCAAACAATTCATTATGTCAGTCAGAGATTCATGTTTTATTTCTACTTATAAATAAGTAGAAATAATAGATACTTCATAAATATATATATATAGCCATGTAGAAGAATTATACCAATTTGCTAATTTCAAAATGCAGAAGTACAGAATACTGTAAGTGGTTTTACTTAGATGAACTACAGGAAAAGAAGTCCTACCAGTGGATCCACTAATGTGAAGTTCTGGGGTAGTCTTATTTCCAGCAACAGCACTGAGGACAATGCTGTATTTATTCCCAGGAATGAGACTGGAAAATGTATTTTCTGTTTTTGAAATTCTTCCTGGTATGGAGACTTCTTGTATCTTTTTATTATCACGATCAAGTAATACTAGGTTATACATGTCCACCTTTCCTGAAGAAGGATCCCATTGAACCTGCAAGCTTGTGAGTGTCGTTTTTTCCTTATTAATTTCCAAACGAGATGGTGGCAAGGGATCTGCAGTTAGGAAAAAAAACCCAGAAAACATAAACCATTTCTTGCTTTGGCATTATCTGAAATTTTACACAGCAGCACAAGAAATCTTCCAAAACTCTCCCTTTATCATCATCATGCTGCCAATACTTTTCTCCTTCTATTTATAAACACTGTACATTGAAGCCAGTCTACAAGAGAGTCTTGAAGAATTCAGAAATATTACTTGTATGTATTTGCACACACTCACACAGACATGCACATAGCAAAACACTTCCACTGTGGATGTATATTGCAAGCTTGGAAACCTGCTTGCAGTAAACTCTAGTAAAACTCTAACAACTTTAGTAAGAAACAGCAAACATGTAAACCCAGCAAATTAAACTCAGTGCCTCAGTGTAATGTAGCTTTATAGATGGCAGCAACAGCTTTCATTTCCTAGCACTCACCCTAAACACTTCATCAGTTAAGGGTATGAGCGTTTATACAATTTTAAGGGCAATGATCTTTTGTTTTTAGTATTAGCTTCAACAACTTCAAACATTCTGATAGAACATGCTTCTGCTCAGTTGTAGTTCTGTTCATAAAAATTTAAAAAAACCAAAATAGTACATTGGATATACCTTAAGGAACTAATATTGTAATTACTTCTCTGAAACTCTCAACATTCATTATGTTGTTTATTAAGAAGCTCTCCAGTAAAATCACCTGTGAAATAAGATCCATTCTAAAGGAAAGATAAACTGACCAAACCTAAAGAATCTGGTTGATTTTTTTCTCTAGATGCATTTCATCACTCACAAGAATTCATGCAAACAACACAGAATGTATTACATGTTGATGTACTAAGGTATTGACATTTGTGTCTTCCAAAAAGGCTAAGCAAATAACTGTTAAGAAGATATCATGAAACAACTCAAAGCAGTGAAATCAAGCCTTCATAAGTTGGGACGTTAAAATTTCCCGACAATTTAGGAATAAATTTGCCTACCACAAGAGTACACTCTATGCTACTCTTTCTTAGCATCAGACCAGGAGTGTAAGATGCATCCAGACTGAGAACTGTGGTCTCTGTATGAACAGCACCTCAAACACAGAAGAACAAGACTATTTTTCCAATACAGTAATTACTGCTTGGTTCCCTGAACAAAGAAGACAAAAAAATGTCAATCACACTAAGTTAAAAATGCAATGTAAAGGCTGCAAAGATGAAGTTGAACCTATCTCCCACCTACAAATACATAAGTAGGAGGGCCTTAGCAGCCTTTAAGCTGCTTTTTCTTCAAATTCTGGATGATGTGGAAGGTTTAATCACTTTCTACAAAGCTCTGCTGAGAACAGAGTAGTGCCAAGTTTTGGTGGTATACTTTGTCAACCAAATACATTAGGAATGTTAAGGAAGCATCTCCTTCCTTGGAAACATTAAAAAACTGACTGGACATGGTCCTGGGCAACCAGATCCAGGTGGCCCTGCTTGAACCAGGTTCTTGGAACAGATGACCTCCAGAGGTCCCCTCCAACCTCAACCTCTCTGTGGCTCTGAAAGCACTGTGTCCCTTTGAACCTATGTCTCTGCTTAAATTCAGATTCTTCCTTTGGACCACAGAGATGTTAGTGCTCTTCAGAAAGAGATGAAAATTAAACGAATTGATTTACAAAATCAATCAATAAAAGTAACTATCTTTTCTTGACCACTTTCTTAAAGGCCAAACTAAGTCTGCTTAAATCTGAAAAAGAAGAAAGTAATATTAAAGACCAAGCACATCAAACTTCAGGCCAAATAGTTAAAACTTCACCCAGTTACAGCAACTGAAACATGAGGTTTTAATGAAAAGTGTCAGGAAATCTTAACAATAGGCTTGACTACCAGCTCCACCTATAATATATACTAAGCCACCAAAGACTATTATGTTGGCAAAAGTGAATAGTGGGGGTATAATCTTGTTCCTTGAAGGCAATTGTTCTAATCTGAAAGGTCAGACTTTGGAAGTCAGAAATAAATTCCAGCACTATATATGGTCAGATGCACAGACAGCTGAAAAAGTTTTAATTTGACTGACATTGAGAGAACAGTCATGATAACTATCAAGAAGTTTAACCCTCTTTCTGACTAAGTTAGGACAAGGTCAACAGTTCTTTAGTCCTGCAAAAGTAATCACCATTGCTATCCATATTATTTGCCAAATTTGACAAAAAAGATATCTGCATTTTCAGAAGCACTTTTACTGTCCTGGGTAATCTGTCTCCTAAGGTGCATGAGCAAAGAAGAAAGTTGCGTGCCTAGAAGGTGAAGTTCAGAAATTCAGACTTTATCTAATCTATCTGGTCCAGAAAACAAAACACTCAGTGCTTTGTACATCCGCTAGAACAAAGGAACAATGAGACTGGGAAGTGCCTGGGCTGAAAGAGCCCTGGATGGAAACAAACACTTAAAAAACCATTTACATTGTTAGACAAGTCTCTGTTGGCAACGATACAACACAGATATATCACAGAAATAAAATATTTTCATCAAGATATTTTTATACCATTTGACACTATACAAATTAACGTCCCCTGGTCTACAAAGGCATCTTCCAGAGACTTAATGGTCTTTGAATTATATTGCAACTCCATTTTCACTTCTGGGAAAGAGGATATGCTTTCTCTGCACAGCTGCTGCAGATCCAATTTACAGATATGGCTATGTCAAACTCCAGTGACATGACTCCCAGATACAGCCTGTAAGCACAGAAACACACCTGCCTTATGCAGGAGAAAACAAAAACAGCTGGGAGGTATGAGCCCAGGACTTAGTAATGGGGAATTCCTGCCAGTCTCAGTTATCTTCCTACCACATTTTTTCCTAACTTTCCCTCTTCATAAAACAGTAACCTACTTCATAAGGACTTTTCTGAAGATTAAGTAAAGAGGGTTGATTTCATTGTCTTTACTAAGCACAAATATCCATTTCTTTGGGATGATATGCAAATTAGAGAATCTTTAAAATACGGTTATTTATTTTCTTCTTGTACTCTGCCTTTGAAACGATGATCATAACCATTAGATGATTACAGATGATAGGATTATACAGCCTATAGTTAGAGCCATGTCACGTGTTGTTCCTACAGATGGCTAATAAATCAAATTTGTCCCAAATAACTTGAAATTTACAGGAGTGAACACATGACCTGCGTATGCTTAGAAAGTTACATATTACAATGAAAAACCACTCTAACAGTTGTGTCTTGGAAGATAAAATTCTATCTTCTTTTCATTCAAGTATTTAATGGATTTTCTAACAAAAAATTATTTACCTATAGTTCTCTCAGTGCAGGAGGCTTGAATTGGATAGTCACATAATACAGCACTGCAATATTTTTGTAGACAAAGATTTTGAAAATGGCATTTATAAGTCTATTTTAGAAGACATAGTTGAAAATGGGGTAATTGCAAAATTGTTTTCCATGGCTCTCTAGACCAGTATCTCAAATCTGTATTTCAATTCTGAATTGAAATTTATAAATTTAACTGTAATTTAGGATCTATTCATATACTACTATTTTTACCCAGACCTAATCATTCACTGAAATATAGTTATACTGGTGCACAGACATTTGGAGATTTGAGAACTTAAAATGTATCTTACTTATAATTGAGAAAGACAAAATCCTACCATCTTTTGCTGTACATCAATTCTTAATCACAGAAATAGTTTTATTGAGAAAACAATATAACATGAAAGGACTGACAGGTGCATATCCCAGCTTTACAATGTCTAGTTGTATGGTTTTATGTGTTGTTTAATGTGCATATATATATATATAACTTAGAAAAACCCCAACAAATTGTAAATATTAATATGAAGCAAATATGCATACTTGTGCCCACTGACATCTGTAATCTCAGTTTTGCAGTGGAAAATTTATCTGTAGTTAAGAGCTGATAATTGTGTTATCAGCTTTTTCTTCCTTTCCTATTCTACCAAAACAGCACAAATGTCCCCACTCTGTGTGTTTCCATGCCTATGTATACATGGCTTATGAAGTGCATATGTGACTGTATTTTCCATCATTTTGGATGACCTATTTTAGTTCTGCTCTACAGGATTAAACACTTGCTGTTTTAAATTTACAACCCACAGACCAAAATTTCTCGAGTAAAAAGAGTCACTTTAGAGGATTAGTGTGGATTCTTGTACTACTATTTCATACATCATTAGACTTAAGATCTATGTATCCACAAGTGAAATAGAAGCTGCTTCTCCAAGAAAAGATTCACAAGGGAATCTGGTGTTACTTGAGAGTTTATGGAATCTTCTCGAGCTGCACAATTATTCTATCAGACTATGAAACTTGCAAACAACATAGACCATGATTTTAATGTAACATTATATACTCAAAAGGACAATATGGTCCTCTCCAACCTTTTACATTACCACTGCAACTGTGGTATTCATTATTCATTGCTTTCACCATGAGTTCCCAGTCGGAAAATATCACACTCAAAATTTAACCAAATGTTTTGGATTTTATGTGCTTAGCGACTCAAGTACTTTGTATAAGGAACTTGATGAAAACTAAACTCAGAACTGGCACACAAAGATTTTTACAGGATTGAATATGAGCAAAAAGGTAGTTTCTGAACTAGGCATACAAACAAACCTGAACATTCTCACACTTTCTCATGTGTATTTATTTTATCAAGACAATACAGATGTTCAAACATCTTTTTGCAAAAATAAAACACATGAGATGGGATTCCTTTCATTTCAACCAACTACACTTTGGCTTTCTGGTTTAACCTAGCCTTCTTTGATAGCCAGTGGAGAAAGCACCTTCAAGCTTAGCCCATCTTCCTTAGAAAAAGAGCTCAGGAAGGGAACCTCACTGACCAAGGTCAGACATTGTGGTTTTAGATGGCCCATAACTCAGTTCCACTTCCAGTGGAATTGGTAGAAATTTTGTTTACAATATGGCTGGAAAGACTGTTTATACTTCCATATTCACAGGACAATTTCCAGGAACGCATGCTTATGGACATTCAGGCTCAGTAGATAGTAAACTAAAACTACTGTCATCAAGTTACAAAGAACAGGTGAAAAAGAGCTACCATGGAATTGGTTTAAAATGCTGCCCCTAGTGGAAACATAAGAGGAATAATCCTCCCTCATTCTGCATTGAAAAGCTCAGTATGACAATACACCATGGGTTGTTCACAGGCATAATTTAGAAAAATTCTTTAGGGAAAAAAAAAAATTGGGGCTAATTGTGTATTTTGAACACCATCAAGCAATTCAACTCAAGGAAAGCAAGGAACCACAGAGCAATCTCAATCTCAGCAGCTCTCTGCAGGAAACATTCATGGGTCCTCGATTCTTATTTCATGCTTTTGACTGATCTCTGCTATCCAAAACCTAAACATAAACCTCACTTCAACTATGGCATACCAATTATCAGTATTTCAACTTAAACTTAAATCAGACTTTTCACTTTGATGTCAGCTACATAATATGACTCTAATGATCAGCTGTTTCCAATCACTTTCATTTCACAGCCTTGAAAAATCTATTTAGTGATAAAAAAGTCATAAATGGCACATACAAGCTTCTGTGTTAATGGTACTCTATTAATCAAAATGTGCTCTAAAGTGGTATCTTCTCACCTTCTATGCAAGTGTTCAATAATAGAACTTTACTATACAGAAATGATGGTGATTTATACCTGCCTCTCTGATATCTATTATTTCAATTTTCACATTACAAGTCATCAATATCAATATTAAAAACAATCAACATGATGCACAACGAATTTAAATCACAGTCTGCATAGGAACTATTACTCATTTTTACCAACTGACATGACTTGTGCTTAGTGTACAGCTATGACACCAGCAGACTTGTAGTGGATTTTTTTAAACTTGAGTTACCACAGCAAATTAATGGAGAGTATTTAGTGCATTTGTATGGTTAATATAGGAAAAGGTTCCGACAGAAAGCAACACCTTTGTAATTGTGAAGTACTTGGCTGCTGTAATCTTCAATACTAATATTAAGTACCTCTCTAAAACTAACCTTAGGAGCAAATCAGAGAAGCATTTAATGATGGACATTATTTAAGACATCTTTGTTTTGGGTCTTGAACTACTACCTTTGGGAGGTCGAACAGTATTATATTTTATCATCTTCACAAAGCACAAATACAGGTAGAAAGAGGCCAGTTGTGCCACTGCAGCTGTTGTCATTCAACGTTGTCCATTGCTTCACAGCTGAATTGTTCGCATGCCCGCACAAACACGAATGCAGAAGGGGGTCTTTCCTTGGCAGCCCTCTGTCAGGCTGCTGGACCATTTTTTACAGCCAGTCATGGATGTGTCACTGGAAGTGCTCTGTACACAACTGCGTATCATAACACCTCACTGGTGATATCCAAGGAAAACATATAAGAAGGAAGTTTCAGCCTTACTTTCTGACTTTTAGTCTCTGCTTAGACAGAACCAAAGCATGGAAATGGGCTGAAACAGTGTGTTTCAGTACCCTTAAAGAAGACTTACCTGCTATGAAATAGATTGTATTTTAAACACAGTAAATAAACTGTCAGCTGAGGAATTATGACAACAATGTATTTGCATAAGCACGAAGGATGTTATGAGCTAGTACGACAAAACCATTTTTTTTAACTTAATATCCTCACAGCACCTTCTTTCAAGCCTGGTGGGTTAACTGTCGGCAGGAGTCACTTCTGGCAGTGGGCTAAAGAGAACTCAAGCGCAGGGCTGCTATGTTCAGCAAACACTGCCCACTTGCAGGAGCTGTAAATGCATCGCTCTCCTCCTCCTCTTGGAGCCGGCCGAAGCAAGGGGAGGAAAGGGAAAAGCCCGGCGTCCCTCCCCGCGCACCTGCCGCGCCCGCGCCCCTACCTGTCTGCAGGGAGATGTTGAGAGCCTCGCCGCCGGCGAGCGGCTCGATGCGCAGGTGGTACCAGGTTCCGGCCTCCAGGCCCCGCAGGGTGCAGCCGTAGGTGCCGTTGCCCGCGGGGGCGGGCTGGCAGCCAGCTGCCTCCCCGTCCTCGGAGCGCCCGCTCACGCTGAAGTTGCAGGCGCGGCCCGCGGCGCCCCAGCGCAGCCGAACGCTCTGCCCGGCGACGCTCCGCTCCGTCAGGTTGGCGCTGCATCCCGCCGCCTGCTCCGGCGCGGCCTGCGGAGAGCGAGGAGAGCTCTGAGAGACCCGCCAGTACCCCCGGGCTCAGCCCCCAGCCCCGTCCCCGCGTTGTGCCGCTGCGGGGCGAACCTGCCCGTGTCCCCCAGGCTCGCCTGCGACCTGCGAGGGACGACCCTACACCGCCCCCCTCCTCCCGGCCGCTCACCTTGGTCAGGGCCAGCGCCGTCCACAGGGCGAATCCTGCTCCATAGCTCAGCATCGCCGACAGTTTTTAACGCCAAAAACCCTCGCGGGGAGGGGAAAAGGGGAAGGGACGGCGGGGTTGGGGTGGGGGTATCCGAAGAAGCGAAGTGGCGGCGGCGGGCCCCGGGGGCCCCCGCTCCCCGCCGGGCTCCGAGCCCTGTGCCGGGCCGCCCGCCTGCTGCATGCGCTCGGGGCTGCCCCGGCCGCCGAGCCGCCTCCCTGACACCGGCGTGGGGTGGGGGGGCTGCCCGCCTGCGGCTGAGGAGGAGCGGAGGAGGCGGGGGAGGCGGCCGCCGCTTCCCACGCTGCCATTCTGACCCGGGCTGACTCTCCCGGAGCCCTTCCCGCCGACTTCCGCAATCAAGAGGCGATTTCCTCGCGTCTCGCTGCGGGGGGCGAAGCTCGGCGACTCGGGACCTGCCGCCCACCGGGCAGGCGACCGGCTCCGGGGTGCCGCCCCTCTCTCCTTAAGGATCCCACCTTCCTCCCGGCTCCTCTCCTACCCCACGTCTCTTCCTTCCTCGCTGCCTCCTCCTCATGTCGGTTTCCCCCTCTGTCTTGTCTTCGCAATCTTTCCCCCGGCGCACGGGGCCCTGCAGCGGTGCCGCTGTTGGGGAGCGGCACGCTTGTCGCACGCTGGCTGCACCTCACCGGGCGCTGCCTTGCCTTGTCTCATGGCTGCATCGCCTCACAATGTCTTCTTGCCTCTGCCCCACCTCGCAGCTGCCTTGTCTCATGCTGACCTTGCCTCATTCCCACCTTGCCTCTTGCCTGCCTTGCCTCACGGCCACCTTGCCTCCTGTGGCTCCTTCTCCTCCTGCCTGCCACTCCTCTTGGACGTCTTGCCTCATGCTTGCTTCATTCCATGGCCACCTCACCTTGCATGCCTGCTCTCCTCACACCGGCCACCCTTCACAGCCATCCCTCCTCCTGGTCCACCCTCCTTTTGGCTTTAGCTATCAGTAACCCACCACTCCAGCTCTCGTGTCCCAAACTCAGATGTTTTTAAGGGTTAACCATAGAGCACCAAGGGCTCCATTCTCTCACTGGCCATGTGGCACTGCAGCCAGGGCCTTGCATCAGGAGAGCCCAGCAGAGCCCAGCTGAGCTCCTGCCTGCAGCAGCGGAGTCTGTGGGAGCGGCCAAGTCATCTCCGTTTTCTGTTTCAACTTGTGTCCTCGAAACAATTCCTTCCCACATCGCCTGAATATCTCCCAAGCTAAAATTACACACGCCATGAAAAGCAAAAAAGTCTCCCTGTTTTCAGACTGCACCAATAAAGATGTGTGCAACTCTGAGTTGGCTACTGCCAAAATGAAAACTTTCCATTTCTGTCATGCATACCTATTTCCTTCTTGCTTACATTTCAGCCTCTGAGAACTCGCATGTCAATGTGTGCATGGGCAGACAGGGAAGAAGTGTAGACAGAAGCATTTTTGCACCTTCAGATATTCAAATACACAATAGCAGACATGGAGTGAATTTGGAGGTGCACAAAGAGAAGGAAATGGACATTTACTTTCTTCAATGGGAATAGTATTTTTCTGCATCTTTCTGTACTGCATAATGTGCGTGAGATTTTAACTTCTAAAAGCAGTACCTCAAGCAAATTCAACACCATCTGTATCGCTTTTGACCTCTTTGAGGGAGAAAAAGGTTCTAGGTTCTACAAACATTAGTCTACCTTTTAGAGGAGCTGCTGCTCTAGGATTTTTCTGGGCACTAGCCTGTCAAACAAGATACAAATATCTGAAAAACCTTAGCTGTCCTTCTGTTCTGAAATCAAAAGTCTGAGCACTCAAGAGTGGTACCTGTCCCTACAGAAAACTTCATCTGTCCCAGTGGAGCTCTGTGCCTGGTCCTAGGGACGTGGTACTAAAAGTGTTGTGCTGTACTTTGCAAAGCTGAGGGTAGTTAATAACTTTATGATCATTGCCTTAAGTGACAACATAAATCTGTGTTGGTTGTTATGCCAGAGAGGATCTCCTTTGGAAGAGATGTTTTACATACTTCAGACAGAAGGAGGAACCAAACCCCAAAGAGCTAGCACAGGGATAATCATACCATTGATAGGAAACACAAGATGTGTTTCTTAGACCTAAACTAGGACTAAAATGACATAGATGTCTTGTAATCATTTAAGGTGAGAGTTTTACAGTGTGATTTCTTCTTTAGGTGATTGTGATTTTTGGGCTTAACAGCATAAACCACACCAATACTTTTCCAGCACTGGAGAAGTGCAAATCTGAAGGCTTATTGGGATGTTTGGATTACTTCAAAACCCTCTCTGAAAATTAAAACATTCAGGGTTACCTGCCTTTTCTTGAAAAGGAGCTCACATTATTCTAGGGATTTTTGAAAACATCCATGACCTGAACTTCCAGAGAAGATATAATTTGGATATTTAGATATAAGTTTTTTAAAGTAGATGTAATAAGTAAAAGGAAAATGAAGCATAATCGACACTGCAAACATAAAATCCAGGAAAAAAAATGGAACCTACCACAAGTAAAACTTAAAGACTTTTGGACATAAATACCTGTTTTTCTCTTCTAGCTAGCATAAGATAAATTGTGGAAGAAAAATATATTACTGTTTCTCAGAAGTGCTCATAATTCCTACTTTCTTACTCTTATTCTTGATATCATAAAATATTTACTTTTCTGCATTAGTAGGAAAGTACTGGTTTATTACAGGTTTTTACTCCTTCTGTATGTTATCCAGAAAAAGTTGCTACATGGGTAAGGTCTGACACAGATGTCTATGCCAGCACTGGAATAAAACATGAGGGGTCCATCATTCACTGGTGGCAATATATTTATATAGAATAGCCAACATTATGCCACAAGTAATTATTTCCAGACTAGTATTGAATAAATGGGCTTTTAGTAAATCAGTCACACAGCCTTTAACACTTACTGACCTGTGTGGCAAGCCAAGAAACTAATTAAACTGAAAAAAGAACTGGAAGTGAGTTTTGGGAGTTGCCGGACGTGTCTCTAATAGCAGGCTCCAAAGTCCCTTTCAGACACTTTCCCAAGGTTTCCTGACTTTTTTTTTTTTTTTAACACCAACCTCTCTGTCTCTCTAATCAAGAGGAAATGGGCTTTGCATAGCTTTTGTCATGGATTCAAAGTGCAAGCTGCAGTTTTACTTGAAATCCAAGGCAGCTCTAAACCAAACATTTTGTTCAATTGAAATGCCACTATTGTCCCCCCAAAATGGGTATGTGCACAGCCAAATAACAACATGGCTTTACTTCTGCAAACAAGAGGCCCCAGCCTGGGCAAATGCACTTCATAGAAGGTATTGTCTTCCTCACAACAATATTCAGCACTTAGTCTATGTGTTTTCAAAGTATTGTGTTAAATCCAGTTAATCCTTTAAACATCCCTGAAGCTTGACAAAAATGTTTTTAACTCCACTCTAAAGACTGGGAAACAGAGAGGGAGGCCAAAGATTTTAAGTTTGTGTGTCTAAATTGGTATATCTAGATTCAAATGTCCAGAGCCAGTTGGAGGCTACAAGAGAAAGCTACTGCTGATTTTTTTTTCATAGATATGCTTAGACAGCTTATGATCAGAATTCTGGTTTGAAAGTTTTGACCTAAGCAGCTTGTTCAGTGCAAATGTTGTGATTCAGGAACAAGTGGGGTAGAAATACAAGAGGCAGTAGTTTCTGTTAAAATGGTGCCATTTCTCTTGCTTTGGCAGGATTATGTAGTAGTAGTGTTGGAGGCAGTTTGGGTAATCCTTGTTTTTATAGGACATTTCCATTTGGAAAAAACAAGTATTCTGTGCAGGAGGAATGCAAATGAACAGAGGGCATGAGGAAACAAGCTCAGCCTGCATGCACTGAGCCAGAAAGATGATATTTAGAAAGAACTGCATCAGCTGTGGAATAGCGTGCAGTGTGCCCATCCTTGGCTCAGTCCCTTTCCCTTGTCAGCATCAGAACAGCAGTGTTGGGGTCCATAAACCACAAGTTTGTGGACCCTGACACTCTGTCCACGGCCTTCCCAAACATAAAATACCTTTCTTAGTCTTATCCACTTCAACACACAGTAGTAACTGAAGCATGTTTGCCTGCCCCAATACACTGAGTGTAGTGTGGTACCCTGGAAGATAAACCACAGGGAATTTAGGGATTTTCAGTTCTAAACCACTATGTGATAATAGTGATACAGGGACCAATAATGAATGTCCTGCATGCTTCTAACTGCCTGTGCACATTTTGCCAGTGGTAATTCCAGATTTGTCCTCACATTACTGAACTGAGTCTTACAGAAAAGGAAGACTGGAAATTGATTTGGAGCAAATGGCCTGCCATGTGCGCCTTCTACAGCTGGGCAGGCAGCCCCATTGACCTTCTCTGCCAGGGCAGTTTGTGGCCGGACAGACCAGAGACCAAGAAGTGTCTGTGTGTTTCCACTCTGCCTATCAGCCAGTACATAAGCTGACCATGGCCAAGGCCAGGGTTCCTTTCGAGGCCAGTTAAAGCATTTGGATTTCTCTTGCTTTGATCTGTAAACAATGTATGTAATTATCTGTAAATAAGGGCATTGCATACTGTAATTCTTAGCATGTAATTGGAACTAGACCCTTACATCATATAACAAACAATACCAGAGCCTGAGTCACTGAGAGCAGATACCCAGGCTCCTGTGGCTCCTGCCACACAGGAGCCTTCCATTGCTTCTCACATATCCTGATCCAATGCAACATTTGCACCAGGATTGGGCTGTACAGAAGAGGCAGAATTTTTCTGCAGCTATGCTTCTAGCAAAGGACACTGTCAGCATAAACATCAAAACAAAGCATCCCACCAAGAAAAGAACAAAGCTTAGTCCTTTAGGTAGTTTGTTTCAGGTTTTGGTTTGTTGTTTTTTTAAGCCCACTTGTAATAGCTATCAGGCTCCACAGAGTGGAGCAGGCTTTATAAAAATCAGTAATTCTTCTGTCTTACCTCTTCTGTAGTGCTAGAGTACTGAAGAGTGGTTGTTGGAATCCAGGCTTTTTCTGTTACTGCAGATTTCAAGTCAAAGTAGAGGTTTTCAATTGGATTTTTACTGAAGTGTTCAGTCACATTTCTGATGAACATCTCTGTGCTACTCTTCAACACATTTTCAGGCCTAGAAGTAACAGTATTTGAAGAGGAGGATGTAGTTCTAGTACTCCACACAGAAGTGTCTGCATCTTGGAGATCTAAAACAAACAGAGGAAATTATTTAAATTGCCTTAACATTTTTATAAACAATTAATTAGATCAATAAATGTGCTGATACAGCTTCCAAGTAGTTCAAGTACACCTGTCAGTTCTATAGGTTTTTCGTTTTCAGTGCAAACGTGTTTTTGCATCAATACCAAAGCCTGAGAAACATAACCAGAAAAAAATAATGTCCCTGAACACTCATACCATTCATTTTAAATACAGTCTGTGAGTGATTCTGAAGGGAAGAGAAAGGTTGTACTTTGTCATTAATGGCACAATTGTTTTCATTTGCAACTTTTCCCCATACTTGTATCTATCAAATGGCACACAGTCATATTGTAAACCCTCTCCCGTCCTTTCTAAGTGCATGGGCCAGATTCACTTCTGCCTTTTTTTGGTGTAAGTTTAAAACAAGGCTTTGTTCAGTATAATTTTTCAAGATAATTTTTTTCTCAACATATATGTTGAAGTTCCTTCTGCCCACATGAACATTTCTCTTGCTTTCTAAAATCAGTCCTATGCTGACCCCATGCTAGTCCCTGACTGCTGCCTTCCCAAGGCTCAGCTAATGATCTATCACTTAACTGAAGTATCTGTAAATATGGCAGTGGGTTCGCTTTTTTAGTCACGTATCCTTCAGAGAAAGCCAAAGTTGCAATTAGAGCTCAGGAAAGATTTTACTACACATTTTTCCTCCACATTTTCATGGCTCTTCCTCCCCATTGGTATGTATTTAATATCCTTTCTTTGTGGCAGTGAGGGCAGGGTTCAAGCTGTGGTGGCCTCTACATCTGGTAGCATCACATTTCAGCTAAACTATTGGAATTACTCACTGGCCCCTTCTCACAAAAAGCTGCCCAGCCATTGCTGTAACACAGCTAGTGTGTATTGGCTCAATGCCCAAGACACTTTGTCTGTCCTTGAACTGGGGTCTCCAGCATCACAGAACCTTGTTTTGCTGCTGAGCCACTGGGCTGGTTGCCATTTATAACAATTTTAGCTCACAAATCCTTTAAAAACAAAGTAGTGACTGGGTTAAATTGCAGTAGAAGCTTTCAAATGCAATTACTTGGTGTGCAATTATGATGTCTTAGCTGGGCAAGGTGTAATTACCTCTTACCCAAAGGAGCAGTGGGTGAGCTTCCACAAAATCAACATTATCAAGTTTTTGTATATGTGTAAATATATATGTTAACATGTTTATGTAAAGAATATTGCAGCACTCTGATTTGCACAGAAAAGTAAGATTGTAAACTCTAGTAGGAAACATTTCCATGCAAGTATTTGCTGTGCTTGACAGCACAATATGTTCATCTGGTACGTGATTCTGGAACTTTTTGAAACGTAGTAGTTTACTGGAATGGGTTAGTATCCAGTGTAGATATTTCCTTTCCTTTTATCTAATTGTGCTTTTCTGGAAGTAAATAAAAAAAAAAAATCAAAGTCTCCATTAAATTACAAAAAATGTTGATTAAATATTTTTTTCCAAATTGCTTGTGCAAAGGTTTTCATTGAAACCTCAGGTCTCATCTAACTGCACGATCATCTTCATGCTGCTGCCTTTGCATAACCCCCTGTAGAGAGCCTGAGGTGCAGAGTCTGCTGTGGTCCCATGTCACATACCTTCATGGTTCCCACCAGAAGGACAGGAACCTTGTGCTCAACCTGACATCAGGTGCTGCAACAAACCCATTAGCTGACAAAAGTCCAGACTTAGTCTAGATTCCATGACATTCATTGTTCCTGGAGATATCCTAATTGTTGTGGGCCTCTGGAAGTCTAGAGTAGCAACTAGAAATCCTAGCCCTGAGGACTTGGAAAGAGTTCTATGCCTTTCAGATGTCTCTGAGATATCTCTCTCCTACTTCAGCAGGAAGTAGAACTTATTGATAGAAAGAAAGCAAAAAAAGAGTATATCTGCAGTCAGCAATCTCTTAGAGAAAAACCCCACACATTTGGGTTTCTAAATATCTATTTACACACCCAACATGAAAACACTCTAAACATTTTTTTAGCTTAATTTACAGAAAAATAGCAGTGATTCCAGCAGGAAGGCGTTTGCATTCCAGTGCAATTGTGCTTTAGGAAAGCTGTTCCTCCATAAAAGGAAGCTGGTGCTGCCAGTGACATTTATGGGACTCGGCAGCCAGGGAATAACTGGCATTCTTGGTGCAGGAGCTGAGGGGAGAGCTCAACATCCCTGGAAGCAAAACACTTGGTCCTCAGAAAAGTTCCACCATCCCACAGAGATCCCATGAACGAGCATTTGGTCACTGCATGACCCAACCTTTCATGTTAATAAGCTTCAGGCTATTCTGGGTTTCAAGCTAAAGGGTCTTTCCCAGAAAATACTGGTTACAGTCTGTTACCTGTAGCCTGTGGATAGAAGCGACTTGTGTACAGAACTATGCCATACTGGAACTTCAGATATATGTACCAGTGTTTTCCATATATCCTACAGTGGACTGACTAATGGGGTTCATATCTGTTACCCACTTTAAGAAAGTCAGAATTCATGTTTATCTTCTAAGTAAAGCCACTATTGTGATCCTAGTATAAGGACCCTCACAGCCCTTCTTCAGTAGCAGGCACTTAAAAAAAGACAATTGCATATTATAAGGCCCATGTAGCAGATTTCTACACAACTTGAGTTCCAAATTTTTTAACCAGAAAAAACACACCTCCTCTCTGGACATTTGTGAAGTACACAGAAATCTCAACAGTGGTATTTTTCAGATGTGTTTAGCATTGTTCCAGCAGCCTCTTTGGAAATGGGTCATAAAACTGTTCTTGGGAACAGGACAGCAGTGCTGACACTGATGTTGATCACTAGTGGCTGCATGATATACAGTGTGTGAGCATAATATTGTAATAATCAGTAGCACACCCAGGAGAAATGATGATGTTCTGACTGAGTGCATATTTCATCCACGGAGTGTACTGCAAACCCCATCCACCCACACAGCAGCAGGCTGCTGACAAGGAAGGGACTGCCATACATTTCCATGTAGGAACAGCAGAAGTGCTGGTCAGTTGCCAAGAGCTGAGAACCCTACAGTGGTGCTTTCAGCCTCAGCTGAGCTGGCACAGTGCAGCTTTCTGAAATAGCTCACATTGTACTGATCTGCCTACTCTAGTAGAGCACAGTTTCAGAAAACTAAGGCTGAACTGCTAGTGAAACATAACTGAATCAGATATTTTGTGTATGAGATACAAAATACTCCATAAAACTGCATCTAACTCTCTGCAAGACTTGAAACAAGAAGGGGCTGCTTTAAGATCTCTTTATGTGCAGGACAAAATGAATTATCTTTTTACCTAATTACTTGTAAATGAAAGAAGCATAATTCAGATTTCTGTTGTATGTTGAGGTATGAAAGAAAAACAAAATTCTCTGAATGTCCTTTCTTTCCCATTCAACGTGACTTTTAAAACCTGCAAAATCTGTGGTGCTTAAATTTTTTTTCTTCCTTTATTTGGATGTTGTAGAAGTTAGTATCATTTGTATCTTATGTCAGAGAGGTTGAATGTCTCCAAACTCCAGTCTAATCCTGAGCTGCTGTTTTACTTGCTTGTTTTTGAAATGCTGAAGTTGCCACTGAAAGATTCTTTCAGCATCAGTTGTAGCAGAACATCCATATAACTATGATGATAACACCATTGCTGTACCAGCCCTATTTCTGACACTATGAGTAGTTCCAGCTCACCCTGAAGTGGATTTTTGGTCACTGGGAGGGGCATCTAGTTCCACTAACTCCATGGATTACACCTCTACTGAAGAGAGCTCAGATATGCAGAAATTACATAGACACCTAGGTCTTGGTTCAGTTGCCTAAACCTAGTGGAATCTGAACTGCCCTAGGGCATCTGGGGCGTCTGCCCAGGCTCTCATAACACTTATGGGAGACCTGTGTCTTTCTGGGCTGGCAGCTAGAGATCATGTGGAATATTGTGGAGCATCTCAAATGACAAAAAGCACCTTGTTGAGGTAAGTGAAATAATCCCTTCCTTCAGACACCTACACCTATTTAGACACCTGAAAGTTCAAATCCACATGAAGGTCCACACAAAATAGAGATAATGTAATAATGAAAAATACCAGTAAAGTTGTTAGCACTAGCAAAGATGAAATCATAAAGCAGGACATGCCTGATTGCTCTTGGAAGCTGTGCCTATTGTTCCATTTTTTTTCCCTATGAAAGTAGCTGAGCTGGTTTTGTTCTATATTCTTTGTGCTGTGGCTCATTGAGGCTTTAGAAATTTACAAAACCCAAGGACCTAGGCTACACTGCAGATTTCTCCCTTTCTTTTTAGAAAATCTAAACCTATATTTATCTCTGAGCTTCTATCAGTATGCTATTGGATTTTGTACAGTCTTGAAATTATGTCCAAGGATCTGACATTGATACCTCTCCTTAACTAGGTGAAGCTCAGCAGAAATGGTCAACCATTTCTTTGACCCAAGAAAGAAGATTCAAGTAATTTTTGATATTTAATGGGTTCACATATGTGTTAGCAAAATCTTATACTTAGAAAACCCTATAAAATAACTTGGAGAGATTAAAATGAATTTCAGTAAAGGTATTTTAGGAAAAAATATTTTGGGTCAACTTAAAGGTGGAATGAAAATATCGTTTATCACTGTTCTAATTTATCCTGAAGAAAATTGTAAAAGTTCCACACACAAAAAATTACAACTGGTAGTGAACTTATGTATGGATTATTGCAGTATCTACAAACACTAAAAGTGTGGAAAGCTTAAAGTCTAAGATATTTAATTTAATTATTTCAAAAATAGGTAAGAGTTTCTGCCTTTTCTGTGCTTCTGCCATCTTTCTTTGGTGCTTTCCCACCTTCCCAAAAGTCCCAAGAAGCCTGTGTCTTCCCATGTTCTGCAGTGCTACTGCTGCTCCAGTGGTTCAGAGCACGCTTGGAGTGTGCACTGCTCTGGTCTCTCCTGTGCTCCATCTCAGCCACTGAAGCATCACCAATGGGATGTGAATTTACTTAGCTGAAGTTCTGATTATGAAACAACTAAACTGAAAGAGGGATAAGGGTAAGAGAGAAGCTTATGTGAAAGAAATGATCCCAGACAAGAGCCAAGGCTAGAAAAGGGGGAAGGAACAGCATGAACATCAGATGGCATATCAGACTTCAGCTCATACCTGGTATCTGGTATTTTGTCTATTTCAGGCTGGAAACAAACAAGAGATAGAAAGATGTTCCAGTTGTTATTTGAATTCCTTATCCAACATGTTTTATATCTTTGTAGATCCCACTATGGTTCTTCAGTGCTTGGCACATAGCTGTAAGTAAACCCTCCACAAAATCAGCTACTCTTTTTGAATGTCTTGATATCCACAGCTCTAGGGTTGTCCCTACCGTGTATGATATGATAGAAGAGAAATGCAATGAAGAACATCATATTACAAAACAGTTACTGTCACCTTCTGTATCCAGACTGCTCTAAAGCCTGTGTGACAGTCTCTAGAGCTCAGTGCATGCAGCATACAGCTTGGCCTTGTGTCTACTACTCATTTGAAGTAATTCCCTGCTTAGTGAATAATTTTTGGTCAGCAGTGGTTTTGAGGTTTGCTGGTAATATTCAAGATGCCACATAGCATTGCATCTGTTCTTAATTGGATATTTTATTGAAATTAACCTACCCAGAACAAAAGAAGCTCAGGAGTGACATCAGTGTTAGTCTGTCAGCATTAATGGTGGACATTTGTTCCACAAGTGTTATTTACATGCAACATTCTGTGTTCTTTTTCAGTCATCCTGCCTTCTAGCTCTTCAACTGCCCCATCTTTTCCTCTTGCCTGTTTCCATTCCTGTTCCTTCTCCTGGTTTCTGAGCTTAGAGAAGCTCTGAACCCAACAGTGGGCTGGTGAAAAGAAGGCTTTAGCATTACAGATTTTTTCTCACTCTGCCCAGAATGTCCTCATGAATTTGGTGGGAAATGAAGTCTCACTTTCTCAAGGGATATTGATACCTTATGACCATTCTTCATGTTAGCTGTTTCAGCTGGAGGCCAGATTCAAACATGAGTTTGTGTGAGAAGGATTGTTTGCTGCTAGATTTGGAATTACCTCTGAGTGAGCAGAGAGGGGTTACATTCCCAAATTGATCCTGGTTTCCACAAACAGTCATTTAGGTTAAGACTGTTACAAAACATGTAAATCCAAACACATCTCGGATGATTTGAAATCCAAATCCAAGCTCAGACTTTCCCCAGGTTTAGAAAAATAATGTTTGATGTTTGAGTAAGGTCCAGAATAAAAGGCAGTTGCAGTTATTGGGTTTGGAGCTTCTACTCTATCTGGGGTGATGTTTGGGATGCAATTCAGTGAGCTAGTCCTATGCCAAAAGAGAACTCTTTTTATAAGAACTGTGAAAATAGAGGGTAAATTATAGCAAAATGTGGTCTTAGTCAGGAGGAGAAAAACTTACAACCATTTCAGCTCCAAAGATTTTGCTCAATTTTTACTACCTTAGCTAAATATAGACCAAATATGTTATTTTAGGCTGATCCACTTCTGCTTGTACTGAAAGCAGATAGATGTTCTTGGAAGACTAATTTTACAAATTTAGCATTGAAGATTTTCACAAGCATATGGATGCCATGACCAGAATTGGGGGCATTAGATATTGTTATCACAGTACTTACTACTATTTGGAAAATTAATCTCTTAACAGTACTTCCACTTTATGAGGTTCTTATAGTCCTATAATTCTTATTTGGGTATTGAGGATTACAATAATTTCTTGGTTTTTCAGCAGAGCTTCCCAGAGCTGTCAAAAATAAGGTAAGTAACACTCTTAGAAAGGATTTACAGACCTGTCTATGGAGAGAATTTCAGGAAAATCAAGGCAAATTCATTTAAGAACTGAACACAGTAAACAAATGAGAAGGTGCTTTAATATCTCATGACAATTGTCTTAGTACTTATTGGTCTTAAATTGCTTCTCCTCTGGGGATGATTAAGAAAAGTGTGTAAGGTTACTTTAACTTTGTTAGGCCACACTCCACCCAAAGGAAATAACACTACCTGTGCACCTCATCTGAACTGTTCATAGTGTCTTTGAATATGCAAGCCATATGCATCCCACAGGACTTCAAATGATTTTGCCTTTTTAATCTCTAACATGTATGGGAGGACTGGGATGGCATCATGGCCACTTTTCCATTCCCTGGTACTGCACACTATCCTTTCATGCCTCCACTCAGGTGAGTAGTCCTATGAGCAGAGTTCTGCAAGTGCAAATTTGCTGAAAAAATGGTACCCTGCCTTACAATAACTAAGAGTTTAGAAAGAATGAGGATTTGGTTTAAACATTCTGAAAACTTGGACATATGCAACAGTTTTCAGTCATAAAACTTTTTTTTAACCCTGTAAAGACAAGAATTAACAGTAAAAAGATGTCTGTAGGTTGTTCTTATTTACTGTGAAAAATTGCTTAATATTGCAGAAGAACAATATCAACATCTTTGCCGGGAAGGATTGACAATGGGACATTGAAGAAGCATTATCAAGCAGTATTCCAACCACTGTACCTTCCATTTTGTCGTGGATATGGAAACCCACAACTACACTGTAGGTATATCTGTATGGCTGTAGGTATGTGCACAGACCTTTGCATTTCAAGGTACTATTCCAAAAATTTCTGAGACTTTCAATTCAATTCATTATTCTCAGGATTTTGATTGCTCTCATGTACATGGCATCTAAGAGCAAAATTACACTGAGTAAACATGCAAATGTGTAGGCCATGACTGTTCTAATAATGCATTTAGGTTAATCAGAGAAATAATTGTGCATGTGTTTGATTTTCAGATGTCTTTTTGCTCTTGACAGATTGGATCTGTATTTGTATGATAAAATGAATGGGGAGGAGAACTTCTTTGCCTCTACATTTTTGAAAAGTACTAGGAATCAGTACCCATAGTTTAGAAATGGAAAAAGGAAATGACACACTAATAGTGAGCTGAGGTTACATATAAGCTCATTGATCCAAAGACTGGGAGTAGACAAAAGGAGAGACATCCTGAAAATATAAAGTGGATTAAAAACTTCACCAGCTGTGAGAAAGACAGCACTCATCTCAGCTGTTCTTAAATAGTTCTCAAAATGCTTTTCGACTGTGAAAAACATTCTTCTGTATGAATAAAATATCATAATTTTTCACATTTGAGTTAGTATTAGCATAACAGAGACATTTTTGTTACCAAAACTCCCAGGATATTTTCTTGAAAGAATAACTCACCTTGCTTTGAGCACAGATTTACATAAACAGGTTTTCCCGTCTCGCTGGCTTTTAGTTGCATCCATGTATGAAGGTATTTTTTACTCCGCTTGGCCATGACCTTCTGACCTTGTTTTGTGAGGAAAAGGGAGCTGTTGGCCACCTTCAGGAGCCCATCCTCGTGGCAATTCCACCTGACTGCCTGGGGACAATCGACAGTGATGCTGCGAGACGACAGAGCAGAGCGTGTGGAGATGCTCAGGCACTGGGCAGACTTCACATGGAGGAGCCTGTCATCTGCCATCCACTGCCACTTCTGGTTCAGGTCAGTCATATTGCACTTTTCCATAATGACTCCTCTCTTTTCTGAAAGACACTGCTGTTTCTGGACATGGATAATCAGAAACCCTTCTGGAAAAGGAAAATTCCACGAAAATACGATTGATTACACATTTACTTGACAAAAAGCAAATTACCAATGATTTAAAATACATCAGCAAATAAATTTCTCTTCCCACTTTCTGTGTGTTGAACTTTTCATGAAACTTCCAGAAGCTGAACCTATTTTAAAAAAAACCCTCCAAACACAACACCCACGTGATGCATGTGCTGGTAACATAAATAATGAAAATGCAAAATCCCAAGCTATTGTGGCAAGGTTATCTTGACCTTCATTATACATAAAAATAAGAAAAAATTAAACTGGATATAAAAGAAATCTAAGAACTATTAAATTCAAACACCAGTCCCTCATTTCCCCTGCTGGAAAGCAAACACGTCTACATGAATTCTCAGTCTCTGTTTCAGTTTTACAACACAGACTTTTAAAAATATAATTTACTGCCTAAAAGTTGTTTTAGTAAAATTCATAATGTTTCTGAGGGAAATGTAGGACGATATTCATAAATTGCTGAATCTCTCAATGCCTGTGTTACAGGAATGGAGGTTCTTTACTGGTAGGAAGCACATCTGTTTTACTGGATTTATTCCAAAGTCTCTAGCTGTTAGCTTTGTGACCATTCCAATTCACGTAAGATTAGCTCTCTGTGTCACCACACTTAAAGATCAACACCAGCTACTCAAATGAAGAAAATTACAGTGCATTAATCAAAACCCCACAAAGCTACCAAGCAAAATGCATACTTGTTACAGAACACAGAACTGGTTATTTCAAATGCAGCCTCCCTGCCATATCAAGTTTAGGTTGTTCTTTGTTTTTAATCTCAGTTACTCAAACATTTCCAGCCCTATTAGTTACCAAGTGCTAAACCAAATGTGTATTTATTTCCCTCAATTGATATTGTCATTCCCCTGTTTTTACAGACCTGGGAATTTTCTAACTAAGCATTATAGAAAGTTCTTGTCTCTGAAGTTTTATAAAGTATGAATAAAAGACAGGCATCTCCTGTCTGAAGCATTTGTCCCAAAAAATCAGCTCCTGGATTGTCTATCAGGAGATCTTCTTAAAAAAGAGAAGATGTATTTCCAGCAAAGAAGAAGGCAGTTTATTTTCCTTTGGAAAGGAATCTAAACAGAATGGGCTGTGTTGGCCCTGCCCTCATTCCTCTGGTATGAAGCCCAGAGAAGAGGTGACTCGGTTTCTTTAAGTCACCGGCTGTGCCGCAGGGCTCTGCTCACTGGCAGAAAGAGCAATTCAGCAGAGGGGAAGTGGGGAGAGACACTTACCTGAGAATGTCAAGGCAAGACAGGTAGAAACCAGGACGTGAAATAAAGAATCCATTTTCCCTCTAGCAACTCCCCATGCTTCTCTTAAAAAAACCCACCTCAGATAAGTGAAGCGAAGGCTAGGAAGGAAATGTGCCTTCACGGGGGAAAAAGTCAGTGACGAGCACTTCCTTCTATTCAATTGTTTTGGGGGGTTTTACAGCACTTTGTCCTTTTAATATGATTCTTCAGTTTACTAGTTGGTTTATTTTGGAAAAATACAAGCAAAAGAGAAGTTTTCAAGCACCTGGGAAATTAAAAGAGATTTTATTGAATCTCTTTAGACTAAAAGAAAGGGGATCATACTTTTGTGTAATTTGTTGCATGTGAACTATTACAAATCTACAGGTCATCTGGATGGTGCTGACTAAGTATGTTCTATATTATCCAAGGAAAAACATGTATTTTTTGTAACTATACACAATCAAGCAAGATCTCAATATATTTCTAACTCTACAAGTTCTAAAAGCCAAGTGGAGCATGGGGAGGAAGGGGAAGAGGAGGAGGCAAAGCTCTGGCATCTGTACCAGGTCTTACAGAAACTCCCCCTGAGGAACCAAGTGATGCTGGCTTTGCCTTTCCATCAGGTGGTGCACCTTGCTCCATGTCAGCTGGGGATTGCCTGTGCCCTCTGGATTGGTTCCCAAGTGGTTGGAAGCCATGGTGGAGGCTGTCCAAATTGTGCTGAACTGAGCCTGTTTATAGGGGTACAAGAGTGTGTGTGCATTAACTACTCTAAGCAAGAACAGAGACTTCAGTTAATATTTTATATTAAGGGTAATTTATTAGCAGTATGAAGCAAAGTCAACATCACTGCATTAAAAACTCATGACACCCTGTAAACAGACCTCCCAGTGCTGTAAGCCATAATGCCAACTTCGCATATCTCTTAAAAACATACTTTTACTGAGCAATAAAGGAAACAGTCATAGCAGCATTTTCTTTCTTGTATAACCTGTCATGGAAGAGTCTGTATCACTAAAGGTATCTATCTCTTACTGAAAGAAATAGAGCAGATAAACAACATATGCAAAAATTTCTGTGTTAATAAAAGACAGACAAATATTTAAAATCCTTACCATTTAATATATGCTACAAAGTTTCTTTTAAAAGTAGAATGACTTACACAATTTACAAATACACTGGATTCAGGTCTGTAGCAGAAGCATGTTCTAAGACAATCAACAGTTTAGGGTAAATACATACACACTGAATAACAGACATTGTGCTCTGCAACTGCTCTGTAAGACCTACAGTAAGTACACATTTAATAGTTAATAGGATGAAGAACATATATTTCCATATAAAATATTAACTGCTTTTGAATATTTTCAAAAACAAGATTTTAAAATTTTTTATTATCTCCTTTTTTTAATCCATAGTTGAACACTTGCAATTTTAGCAGCAAGAATATTATGTGGCCAAGAAACAAGCTCACCACATAATCAGTAATAGCACTTTACAGTACAGTTGACAGTCCATTCACAAGACAGTTTGCAAACGTCAAAGCTTTTATACACTTGTTAAACATTTCTTCTGTAGAAGTCCCAATGTCCATCTGACTGCAGCAGTAGCACATACATACATTCCATATGGCAGATATCAGCATTACAGAATTAAACCCACCTTTAGATACATACACAGAATCCATGTGTAATTTCAGTACAGTACCTTCTTTATAAATCATTTTTGGGAAGCTCGCAATACATTCATACATAGTGAGGGTCCAGCAATCTCTGTGCTTTTGCCAAACCATCCATAATCCTATGAGAAGTTGGCCTCAAAGCCGTCTTTCCCACTGCAGTAGACTCCTTGAAGAAGCTGCTGGTAGGTAATGAAACAGATTACCTCAAGAGACTGACATTTGGTTTTACCCTCTTCGGCTTCACTGGACAGCTTCTGCAGAAAGTCTGCTTTCATACAGACTCAGTGCATGGTGCACAAATTCATACTGCTCGCTGGTCTGAACCATTCCACCCCTGAAAAGGAAACAAACTGCACTGAAATCTTATTTCTTAAGAATGCAACACCCTCCAGCTCCTGCCAGCCCCATGACCACCAGATGACACAAGCCCTTTTCTCAGTTTTTGATTTACAATTTGCTTGAGTAAGTGGGAGATATTTGTCAGAGCAGAATTACTTTCTTCACAGCTTATGGCATCCAGCACATGCCCAACATGAAGAATTCCCGGTTCCATCAGAGTAAGAATTAGACAAGAAAACATGTGGAATCTACAGTGTTAAAACCTACATTTCAAATTCAGTATATTCAAAGAGAATTTTGCTCAATCACTTGGGCAAGGAAGGCCAGATACATGGATGCAGTATTACCACTGATGGAGCAAGGAAGTATACAGAATCTGGCCTTTCATTTTTGTCCTTCACTAAAAATGTAACCTTCTGTGACCTGCAGATGGCCTGTGCAGAGAACAGCTCTTCCTGTCCTCTTTCTAACGCCTACAATGCATCCTGTCTGAACAGCCACCACCTACAAAATTTTACAGCAGTGAATCATTTCACCACCAACAATGCAAAAGAGTTGAACTTAACCATAAAAAGAATAGTTGCAGCCAGCTTGGATTAAATGCCTACTTCTTATACATTCACCAGGTAACAATTAATTCTTCAGGTCTAAGCATGAGGATCAAGTCCCAGATCTCCAGTACTGGTTACAGTGCAATAGGAAGGAGATGTCCTATAGGAGGTAGGTGGGATAGAAGCATTACCATTTAGCTCTGAAATTAAAGTGAAACTCTTTCTGTCAATACTGAGGTACTCAAGGTCTCCCTTCTCATGGACCAAGGCCTCAAGTTTACTTTATACCACTTCTATTATCTCGTCTGCCAGGGTATTCAAAGCTATCTACTCTGCTTCTAGAAACAAGCCCTTGCTTCCTCCTCAGTGCATCCTGGAGCAGCTAGTTACCTTTGGGATGACGAAAGACCAAATGGCCTTAGTGAGAATGAAGACATTAAGATATGTGTCACATCTGGCTTCAGTTCATTGAAACATTTAAATTTGCGAGGTATTTGGATCCAGAGCACTGTTGGAACCAGATATCTTGCAGGAGCAGGTCTGAAAATCTCATGAGATCCCTAACAACAAATGTAGTACTGATATACCAAGATATTTGAAAAATGGTAAAACTTCCACAACAAGTATTGTCCTTCAGTATTATTGAAGGTTATCTACAACCACCAGGTCCTTTTATTTTCTTCAGTGCTTCTGGATGGCTAAATGGCTATGGCAGGAAAATCATAATTAAAATAGTATGTACTTCTTTAGGCAAGTGAGCAGCAGTCCGTGTTCCTCCAATGAGCTTGGGCAAATATAGAACACCTTTTAGTGAGCCACATGGCTATTTATGATATGCTATTCCTAGGAAGAAAATCACAGGCTATTAAATGGTCCCATCCAGCCCAAAATGAAGCACTCGTAGTTTTGCCAACAAAGACATCCAGAAATTCTTAACTCTTGGCTGCCTTTTGCCTTCAGCTGCTTTCCTCTGTGCTTGTCCCCTGCCTGGAGATGCAGCAAGATACTAAAGGTGATGGGAGGGCTTTGCTCCGGTCCTCTGTGCTGCCTAGTCTCCTTCCTTCCTCCTGGCTGCTGCATCCTGCTCTGCCCACGCAGCCCCTTCCCAAACAGCTTCCCTCCCTGCCTTCCTCATCAATGTTCCCCCAAGATGTTCTCTAAGGGAGTGCACTTCCCAGGTTAGATCTGCTGTGTCGAAGGGGTGGGGGAAGGGACCACATCCAGGGAGAAGAACTTAGCAGAAAGGGCAGGTTAAAACAATTTTGGCTGCACTAGGCTGTTTGTGGCGGTGATCCTTGCTCCTTCCTCTTCAGTGCTAAAAATCCCAGGAAAGCATGTGTAAGACTGTAGGGGCTGAGCCCAGCACCATGGTGTCTGCCCTGTGTTAGCAGGCACAATTTGGAGGTTATGATGCTTCTGAACCTTGTAAGGGCAAACAGTCCATATCTCTGCCAGCTTAAGGGCATATGAGTCTTAGTCAGAAGTTTAGACTACTTAGCCTTGTCAGTGCCATTATACACGGGATTTATTGAGCCACAGTAGCACAAAATGGTTTGGATTGGTAGGGACCTTAAAGAGTACCTACTTCCAAACCCCCTGCCATGGGCAGGGGTATCTTCCCCTAAGATGAGGTTGCTCAGAGCCCCATCCAACCTGGCTTTAAACACTTCTAGGGATGAAGGTAAAGAATTTCTTCCTATATCTGATCTGAATTTACTCTCTCTAAGTTTAAAGACATTATCTCTTGTCCTGTCATTACAGACCCTGGTCGAAAGGCTTTCTCTGTCTTTCTTATAAGCCCCCTTTCATATTGAAATGCAGCAAAAACATGTCCCCAGATCCTTCTCCAGGATGAACAGCCCCACCTCTCTCAGACTTTCTTCACAGGAGAGGTGTTCTGTCCCTCTGACCATTTTCATGTCCCTTCTCTGGATCCACTGTAGCAGGCCCATGCCTTTTTTGTCCCTGGGGAGCCCAAACCTGGATGCAGCTCTCCAGGTGGGGTCTCACCAGAGCAGAGCAGAGGGGCAGAATCCCCTCCCTGGACCTGCTGGCCACACTGCTTTAGATTCAGCCCAAGATACACTTGCTTTTCTGGGCTCTAAGTGCACACTGCCAGCTCCTGTTCAATTTTTCATCTATCAATATCCCAAGTCCTTCTTACCTTCATTCTTATGCAAGGCTCACATTTAATAGCAGGAATTATCTGTGATCCCAAGACATTGGTTTGTGGAAATGTCTGTGTGGAAGAGCATTTCAGGAGGAAATTTGCTCAAGGAGGGAGGTTTCCTCTCCTATGTCCCTAGTGTTCAGAAGGGATGTAGCCACAGCTACAGCACCTTGGGTGTGCACCCTTTGTCTATTTGCTAGCCTGCACTGTCAGCTACTCTGTGAGCTGCTGGGCTCTCTGCCTCTGAGACTCTTTGGGCTGTTGCTTGGAAGAAACAGACCCTGGTATCCTGAGGGCTCAGGGATTGTGAC